GGAAGACCACAGAACAATAGAGTCTGTTACAATTATTATTTTTATATTTTACGCTAAGTTTGCATAATAACGCCATGCACTAAGGTCAACATGGCTGACGTAGGATATTTGTGAGGACAAGTGGGCCTATTGATGTTTTATTGAATGTATGTCACTATGACTTAATCGGGATGTGTGTGATTTTAGTTAATGGGATGATCGTATGGCCTTAAAACATCATATGAGTAGGCCTACATAGGTAGCCTAAATAAAACTCTCATATGTTAACTTACTTTCACTAGTGGACACCCCTCAGTCGTCTCCTCTCGAGCCCCTGGCCACATAGGAATTAAATGCTAAGCCTTGTGTAGATCCAACATCAAATCTGAAAGAAATCAAGAATTCGTATCTAAACCAGAAATGGTTTAAACAGCCTAACAAGCTTAATGGGTGTACGGTACCGGCATTTTAAAACTCGCAGCTAAGCACCTGTACATGCTAATTTGTAGTCAACGCGGACAAGTTATTTGCATGTAGCACGTTGTAAAAGTTTGTTTTTTTTTTAAATGGCCAGACTTGACAAGGCCTAGAACAATAAGTTTTATTTTCAGTTAATTTTGGTGAAAGTCTCGGGTGTTACCTCCCTTCTGCTGCATTATTGAACAATGTCTGATCAACCAATTATAGTTTTACGTAAATTTCCTAATATCATAATGTGCAAAAGATTTTGACTCTGCTGTCAACGGGATGAAATTCATAAAATTAATGGAATTAAATTTGATTTAATTTTAGCTTTCTACTAAACTAGTGCCCAAGTGTAATATCTGATTACTTTCTTATTATCTAAATATAGTCAATATCTTTTGCAAAAATTTACTCTGAAAATAGGAAAAGTCCCGTTGTAATTTCATGCAATTAATCTCTGACGGCTAGTAATAGATCTGTACTAGACCGAAATAACATATTATGAAAAATTAATGTGTTTTACATTTATAACATCGGTGATTATAATTAGTATATTTTTTAATATTTTATCGATTTGATCGTTTAGATCACAATTCACTTTGTCTCTCAAACACATTTATAACGTACTCTGTATCGATCCGTTAAAATAACAGAACGGTATATAACATGAGACACACGCACATGAAAATATCCCTAGTGTAAAGAAGTTTAAAAATAGATTACTTCTTCTCTGTGCGAGTCTGCCGGCTGTGTTTATACACTATTTTTGTCGGGCCCACGTTAGTTTGACCCACTGTGAACTTTGATAAGAACTATTATGGAGGAACCGCATCACGCAAGCACTTGCTTTATACGCGCGCAGAAGAAAGTAGTCTGTGTTTTTGTAGTCAAAATGGAGGAGTAAACTCGTAAATATATTATATGTTATCGTATTTTATGCCATATCACGGTATTGCACTCGTATATTCGAGTTGACTGGTTATGATTATTGCAAGCATCAATATGAATTCTTGATTTATTTTCCCCTCGTTGTCGTAATGAAATTCAGAACCGAGTAAGGATATATTAGCTGAGTTTCGGTTCATGGACGTAGATTATACCATTCACGAAGAGGAAAGTGTTTATTCAGAAAATTCAGTTCGTAGATCATCACGTTTTCATCACTTTATAATTTCTTGAGGCCATGGGCAATGCTGCTGCATCGAAAAAGGGAGATTCTGCAGAAAGCGGTAGGTGTAATATGGGGTTTCTAAAAGCCGCATACGAGCTAAGATGTTGATGGGCCATCGACAAAATTTCGATTGCTAGGGAAATAGCATTACCAAACATCCAAATATTCTCACGTGTTATTAGCCTTAAAAGTTTTGACAACTAGGAAATATTAATCCCTACTATTACATCAGAATAGTTAACTTAAATTGTCCATCGTACCGTAATTGTGTGATTACATTCTCTCCCTCATTAATTATGATAATCAAACGTCATTTACTTTGCTGTCATGTTGCTTGGGAAATTAAATCAATCTAACGTGGTAAATTAGGGGAAAAGTTTCAGATTTTACGTAAGCACCTTGTTGTGAAGAACATATTAAATGAATATGTTGGATAATATTGTATTCTTTACGAAAGTAAGTAGTGTAAAATGCAATACCGGTTCACGTCATTACATATATAACACTGTAAGGGAGTTTTTCATGATCAGTCATTTGACAGTATGATATTGTGCTTCTCTCTCTATCGATATACATGGAAAGTCTCTGCTCTATTTCAATAGTTGATGACATTTGATAATAAAACAAAGGATTTTAATTTATCTGCTTTTTAGAAGAAAATTAAAGTAAGAAATGATTGGTGTGACAGTATAAATAACATGTATAATTATGATGCAAAACATTGTACTAAACATTGCAAAACAACATACAGGTACATTCCTGCATATATGATATACTTAAGGTATGGTTGGCATTCTCAATCAGAAATTGTCTGAATTTTCCACAATTCAATCTTGCAAATTGTTGATTGTATATTTGGTTTTCAAATGTGACCTAGATATCACTAAACTGATTCCTAAAATTTTTAGTAAGTCCCTTTAATATGCACGTACTTGCACTCATCAACAGCATTAGGTAGTACACACCATAAACACTGAAGCAAAGTTTTTTAACACTGTAAATACAATAGCATTTGAGTGATTGTGAAATTCTGTCAACATTTTCTCTAACAGTTTGTCTGCCAGATCATTCAGTAGACCATTGAGAGTGTATTTTTGACACCCTAATGAGTTTTGCTTTGTGGGTTTTAAAGTGAAATGTCAAAAGTCCACTGGATGTGTGTGTTCATTCATTCATTGATGATGCCAGGTGATACCATATGCAAATGTAAACCACACTTGGACGATTGTCGGTTTGATCCTTTGATGTGCCAGATGTTAAGATTTTCATTCTTGCTTAATGGTTCAGTAATTTGATATTGGTTATACAAATTTATAAACATGTTTGAATATGGATGTATAATTGAAAATCGTACTGAAAATGCTTGAGTTGAGAATTTTCTTCATATCATCATTAGTTCAGTTGTTATCCATCTAGATCAGTGTACATTGCTTGTGAAATATCTTGGTAATCTTGTAACATTTTGACCTGTTATAAGTTTATAAAAACTGAAGTGTTTATCTTTTCTTCATGAGGATCACATTGTCTTTGCTACAGTTTACTAAAACAGTGGGAGAGTAACCTAATGGATGCAGTTTATATACAACCTTCACAAGGAGAACACAAATTCACATTTGACTCCTTGACAAGTGGACAATTCCTATTACATCAAGAAGTTCATATTGTATGTCAAGTGCTAGCTCACTCCTAATAAGTTTGTACATCATTTGAATTATTGCTGAACATATATAGAAAGGAAACTCTGGGTCAAGATAAGGGGAGATAGATTTTAAAGATTTGCAGAAAGTGGATATATTAATATATCATTTATAATACAAAGTGTTCATTCTGAGAAATATAATGAGATTTTGGAATGATCATTGTTAACACTACTTAAAGCTTTCCTCAGAGTGATTCCTGATACACATGTAAACAGAGGTAAATAAACAGCTTGTTCTGAATTTAGTACTATAAAGGGTACAATTTATCTTGTAAATTCAATTTCCTGACTTGCATATGTGTATGCAGGGTCGGTCTAGCTTAACTTTATAATACATACTTACACACTGTAATCCTAAATACATATTTTCTAATGATGGTTGTTTCTAAACCTCAAGTTATTATACACTATAATACACCTGACATGTCATGAATGATAATTTTTATTTTTATATATGTCTATAAAAGAATTTCTGCTTGATGTAAACTAGGGTATATTACACCTGTCATAAATGGATCTTTTAGGAGTATAATCAATGATAAAAAGGACAATATAGAGTAATGTTCATAGTTATAATAAATATTGAATATATTTACACTTAACCAGATGATAAAACCTGGAAAAAATTGTCTCATTTAACACCTTCATATAATGGTTAATCAAAACTTCATTTGATTAACATTGATCATTGAAACACATGCATGAAGTTATTGTAGAACAATGATAGATTTATTTATAATTATACTTAATAAGTGCTCTTATTTTAATGTACAAAGAAGTCTTCTCCATACAGGAGTTGTTGCTGTTGTAGAAATGTTTTGTACTAGGCTGTCCAACTTTAGCCCCCTCTTTTCTTACTTACAGGTATTATCAATATAAGCACCTTCATATATATCTGGCCCCATGATCATATCTTTGTTACTAAGATAGGAATGTTTCATCTGACTTTGTTGTGGTGTACATGTGGTTTCTTAATCAGTTGCCATTGAATTTGAAGAGATAAAGTCACTTTTACCTGTACTTAGAAATCACTGATAACTTTTATGATACTGGATATCACATAGTCATATTAATTGGTATGTTTAGAATCCTTTCCCATCAGACAGTGTTCTTTATGTGGCTGTTAACAAGATATTAAAAATTTTGTGTTTCCATATTGATCCCATTCCTGTGTAATACTTTAATCAAAGTTGGAAATTGAAGCTAGATATAGGAAGCTAAGACCATATGTGAATGAAATTATTTAGTTGGTGTGCACATTTACAGATTCTTTTGGGTTGGACATAATTGCTGGAAAACTGAACTTGTCTATGGTAGAATCGGATTTCAAAGAAATTAAATTCTATTTCTGCAGTACAAAAGCTTTGTAATTGTATTGGGATAGATTTTTTTTTCATTATTGTCACATATTTCATTATAGACAAGAATATGCAGTTATACATGTATAGTAATAAAGACAATGTTGTGTTTTTTTGGTGGTGTTCTTTTTTTGTGGAAGGGTAGCAGTTTGGCATATATATAGTTGTCATCCACTTTTTGATCATCATTCATTGCTTTAAAGTTATAAATATCTCAACTGTTAAGATGGTATTTTGAAAATACATCTATAACCACAATGAGTTTAGAAAACTTTATCCACATTACATGAAAATGAAAGATTCAGTGGTATTTTTCTTTTATTTTCAGTCAAGGAGTTTCTAACTAAAGCCAGAGAAGATTTCACACACAAATGGGATCACCCGCAACAGGTAAATATATATGTAAGAAAGATGGAACTATAAGTTTACATAGACGATATAAGTACCGGTATGTATTCCCATATCCTTTTGAATCTCTGTGCTTTAAAAAAGGGATATTAATTAGGATATTTGTAATTATTTCATTATTGGCATGCAAATTTGATCCTTTTAATATGCATAAACAGATTAATAGATTTGAATGTCTCTATTTACTGATGTGACATTCAGTTGATAGTGATAACTTAAAAGGAACAACAGTATGTAATTATTATGATCATTCATCTTTATCAATAGTCTGTAATTGGTAAATTGCACTGAAATCCTGCGAACAAGATATCAGTATACCATGTTTGGATAGTGAAGGCTTTGTCCTAATAATATCAGCCAATCTACAAAATTGTAGCTTATTTACAAGGTGATATATCCTTTGTAGTAATTGATTTTGTTTTTGGAGAAAATTGAAAAGGTCAGTTATAGAAAATGTTTCATATTGTCAGTGAATTATATATACACATTGCTCATGATCAGGAGGTTTAGATAGTGTTGTGAACTGTAATGATGTTAAGTGGCATTATATGTTTTCAGTTACACATACTATATAGAAAAGATAGGTGAATAGCACCTTCAAAATAAATTGGATACATTTAAACCAAGCAATGAAGTAAACTGTAAAATTAGGTGTATGTGACAGCAGTGTGGTCCAATATTGGTACTGGATCCTAACAAACAAATGTTTGTTGGATGCATATAACTAGAATAGATATATAATTAATGAAGTAACAACAACAGTATGTATGGACAAGTGAATTGTCAAACTTTGAGGCAATCTGCCCTTTTATAAAGACATAATATCACATAAATTACATTACATAGTGTAAATTTATGTGTCTTGATCATTTCTTCACTACTGTTCTCAGTTTTAGTTTATAACTTTGTGTTTGTTTCATATTCTATGTATGTAATGTAGTTTATGTAATATTTTGGTCCTGATAAAGGGACGATTGGAAAATTGGACAATTCACTTGTCCCTACTGTTGTTGTTAATTCATTAATCATGTAGCTATAATAATAGATGTATATGGATGGGAATCTTAATATACACGTATATTGAACGTCATGAATGTTTTTGTATATTCATGGTTTAAATGATTTACATAAACTGAACACTTAAAACAGCAGATCAAACCCATTTATGCCTTTCCAGTGACTAAAGTCGCTTTTTTTTCAATTGGAAATTTTAACATCAGTTCAAAAATTAATTATATATGGAATAAATGTGCAAAAAAGAATTATATATAGAATAAATGTGTAGAAAAGGTGAAAAATCTTCAATGTATTGGTAGAATATTATATTTTAATGGTGTATTGATAAATCTTGCAACAGTTTTAAAGAGCAGTAAATCTTTAAATACAACTTTCACAATATCTCGACTGCTTCAGTATAATATTATATTTTGATGATGTATTGATGAATTTTACAAGATTTCATTTTAATGAGCAGTAATTCCTTAAATACATCAAGGTTATATATCCACCCATTTGCATGGGCTTTTTTTATCTCATTTTGGGAAGAAAAAATATAATTGGGTAGGTAATTTTTAGAAGTAAACTATGTTGTTTGGGAGTTCAGCCATATTACAAAATAAATCCAGTTTAAGGAATAGGGGCTCATAATAAGACCCTTAAAAAAAGTATGATACCACAAATTTGCATATATATGTTTTTATTTACAAGAAATTTAAATTTCATACTGAGGCCACTCACAGGTACACATGAAATGTGTATGTACTTTGGATTTAAAATTTATATTGTAATTTCCAGTCTGTGATTGGAATGAACTATGGCTACACCCAAGAATTGTATTGTTCAGAATGTCTGATACAACAAGGAAAGTGAAAAATTGAAATAATACGTGCTATTTTCCTTTACAGAACACAGCCTGCCTTGATGACTTCGACCGGATAAAGACCCTGGGTACAGGGTCATTTGGTCGGGTCATGTTGGTGCAACATAAGCAAAACAGAGAATACTATGCCATGAAAATCTTAGACAAACAAAAGGTAGGTTTCTTTGTGACTGAACATATGATTTGTTTTGACCTCTAGATTCCTGGGTAGACATGCATTTAACAGGACATTTAATACGGTTTGAGAAGCAATTTATATTATTGTTTATTTAGAAACGTTTTCAACGACAAAATGTTGATAGTCAATTCATACATCTGAAGCGCATACAATATCTTCCAACACTTTAACTATAAGTAGTAAAAGATAGTAACACACAAAAATATAAGTGGTCACCATACAAAATGTCTTCAAAAACATTTTTTGGTGTCTCAGTAAAGTTAAGATGCTGACACCTTTTTTGTTATATAACTAACATAAAACAATATATATAAATATCACAGGTCATGCATTGGTTTAAGTGTCAGCAATTTTGATTATTATTTTTTTTTTTGTCCATCTGTAGCTCATAATGATCAAAGGATAACTGGTGCATTTTACTTTGGTAAACATGCGATCGTTAAAAATGAGCCTCATGACTATTCTGATACTTGATTTATAGTTGGTTAGCAGTCTTCTGATAATGACTTACAGGAGAGATTGATTTCATGATTAGAAACTTAATGTAAAAGTACATGTGGTAGAGACCTAGTTGATATATTTTGTCTAAAAATATTGTTTTTAAAAAAACTTTGGTGAATCTTGCTCAATGAGTTGACATGATACAGGTAATATGTTCACACGTGGAGTAGAAACCTTAAAGGAGATGGATCCATATGTATTCAACGCCAACATTGTAACTGCTAATTACACTGAATAATTCAGAATGTACTAATAGAATGAGGATTGAATTATTAACTTGTTACCATAATTAGGTTTCATGGTGTGTGTTCCTGAACATTTACCTTTATGATGTGAATAATGGAGATATTTTTTTTCTCCTATTCAGGTTGTGAAATTAAAACAAGTAGAGCATACTTTGAATGAAAAGAGGATTTTGCAAGCCATCAATTTTCCATTCCTTGTTAGTTTAGAGTATCATTTCAAGGTAAGTCACATTTTTCTACCATTTAGTTATCAAAGTCATGCCATTAAGGTCAGAAGGTCATACTAAACAATTTTTAAGTGTTGGTAAACCAACAAATTAGAAAACAACAAAGCTTACAAAGCTTGGCCACCTACCAATACATGTCAGTGCATTAGAAACTCCCAACACATACTGCATGAACCCTTGTTGTGTAAGTCATATTTATGAATTAATCTATTTATAAGTACACATTGTTCCTTGTGTTGTCCTGTTGAAGCCCTTATAATACTGATAATCATTGAAACTTTTTAATTGATACCTATCGACAATGATTTTGATATTTTGTCAAATGGTCTTGCCAGTGTTGTACTTAAGCTGGCATCTTATTGTAGCTTTATTAAAAAGAATATGAGAATAAGAAGAGTGTGTAAATATGAATTGATGATCAGATGGAGTTATTGCTCTATCTGATTGTTAATAGTTTTGTTACCAATCAGAACTGAAAAAAAAGTCCATGAAGATCTCGGTATACAGAGTTAAAGCCCTTTGTTCACAGTCTGTTTGCTTGAGGCATACCCCATATGCTGTATCCACAAAACTTTTATCTTTTACCCAACTATGCTCTGCGTTACATCCTGTAGTTCATTAATTGCCTACAATTGCTGAGTTTGGATCTGAGAATCTCTAGAAGAAGGACTACTTCAATCTTTCAGGTCACTTGTCCCACGATACACAATTAAGGATAAGGCCCATTTTCCCTCTGAAAATTGGCCAAAGATGTTGATTGCATATATAATTAATGTAGTGCTTTGCTTTGTATTGGCTGAGTTTATCTGATCTCATTACAGTCAGTGTGAGAAAATTTTCTGGGTCTATTAAGTGATAGAGTCATTTTCATTGTCATTATAAATATTATGTATATTTTCACTAAGATTTTGTACTTTTTGTTTATTTCCTCAGGACAACTCAAATTTGTATATGGTGTTGGAGTTTGTGACAGGTGGAGAAATGTTTTCACATCTCAGGAGAATAGGAAGATTCAGGTATGTTATTTAAGCTAACACAGAAATAAGTAACCTGTTTTATAGGGCAATGAAAATCTGACTTGGATGAAATGGAAGCTCTAAACTTAGTGAAAACATTAATCAAAGGACAATCCTTTGAAATGGAAATGGCTGGAATAAGCTTTAAAGTAGGGCTGTCTCGGGTACAAAATTTTGGGCCAGGGTACCCAAATTTTATTACCCGACTGATACCTAGGTACCCAAATTTTATCTGACATATAATGAAACATCGTATTACCATGTTGAAAAGGGCTTGTAACCTCAGTAACGAATAAAAATCAACCATATACCATACATTGTATGAACACAATGCTTCACTTATGATATTATTATGTTCATTTCTTTGCATCTATCAACTGTTTTGTAATTTACATGATCTCGAGACAAATCACATTGGATCAAAAGTTGACAAAACGTAACCCCCTCAAGCTTATCGAAAATATGGTACAATGATGTTGCTTACAACAGGAAGTTGAATGAGAATGAGACATTGTTATTGTGCTCGACAATGACATCATAGCAACAACACCAACAACCTGTAATCAAAACATAGATAAACGAATAAGAATGTTGTTTAATTCAAACGAGAAATTCGGGAATCCTTGCATGTTATCCATGGTAACAGGGTAAAATACAGTACACAAGTCTGCTGTGTAAACACATGTTTGACGGTTCCCAAAATGAATTGTGGTAGTGAGAAGACTAAAGTATGACAATGTTGAATGTGGAAATGAAACAAACAGATAAAGTGTCATCCAAAGTAAATGAAAACAGAACAATTGAGTGAGATATTGTATTACTTAAATGATCTGAAATGTAAACACTGAGGGAAGACAGAATGTTTCCTATTTTGACAGGTATCTGGGTACATATTTTCAGACTGGTTATTTCTCAAAACCGACCCGTATACTGGTACATGGGTACTCGTTACAGCCCTTCTTTAAGCAACTGATAGATGAATTGAATTGAGTAAACATCAGTGTGATTATATTACCTTAAAGTGGTAACTTATGAATTATGAATTCAAGATCAGAATTTTGATAAATATGAATAAATTAAATTTGTATAGAAAGGTGTTATTCACTGTCTTTTGTACATGTACAATCATTTAAGAGTACATAAAGAAATAAATATATATGCAGGGATATAAGAAAATATATATACATGCTTTAAAATGATTGCAGATTACATGTGTAATGTACAAGTAAAGTCCTTATATAAGAGAGAGAAGGGAAAAATAGATGAAGATAAGGGATAATTTTGGCAGCTTGAGCTAGTGACATAGATCAAGATTATGATAATTTTTATTGTAAACATTTCATTAAATGAACTGTTCAAAGATTGTCAAATTTTGTATTTTTCCATTGCAACACAAAGTATGGAATCTGAATGACTCTCTAATCCTTATTCAGAAAAATCTAATTTTGAAAAAGTTTTGGCTTAATTGTTGAAAAAAAGGAAAATTTGGAGATTAATATGAGTTTTTAAACCTTGAGGAATTTCTTCTAAAATTCAGATTATGGGAACAGAATGCAGACCCTTGTTTATGATTATTTGCTTATTATAAGGGGAGAACACAATGTAGTAAGTTTCAGCAAAACAACGGATTCTTGTGATTCTGTGTATCTATACATATTATTGTATGGATCTGCTTTAATATTGAGTTATCTTTCTAAATCATTCTAACTATAGGTTCATATTCAGCTATGGTCACTTGGTGAGAACATACCAGAGCCATTAATTAAAACTTTTCATTTTCAGTTAGTCATTCATATCATTCATAATCCAATTTCTGTCATACCATACAGCACTTTATAATATACATCACATTCTTTTCTTCTTCTCCCATTTGTTTAGACTCGAGTTGTGAAATTATTTCTTCATATCCATTTATCGTTTGATATACAGTTATTTTCAGATTGTTATACTCTCTTTGATACAAGACAGAGAAAATATTTTCTCTGTTATGGTATCTTACAGATGGTTTTCAGTCAATTTGCAATTTTAATGGAAATAATTTTAAAAGTGACATTTCCTTTGTAGGTCAAATGTTAACATTCTTGAATAGGACTCTTATATAAAACAGATGATTGTTTTTTACTACAGAAACTATCAAATAGTACAGAATATAATTCTGTATAATAGAAAGCTACATTTATGTTATTTTCACATTAAGCATTCACATCTGGAATTTATAGTATTGATTTTTGTCACTCATTTCTGACATATAGGAAAATCTTGGAAATTGGAAGAATGTTTCCTAGGAAATTAATCTTTGAAACCCACAAAACTAATTTAAAACTATGAATTAGTTGTATACATTTTTCAAAACTTTACTGAATTTGAAATTTTATAATACGTGTACATTTGATCTACTGTAGTTTTCATTGCTATGAACAATTCAACTCTAACAGTGTTTATTGATTGTCTTCACAAACATCATTGCCCGAAAATGTTTAAACATCAACATTGATTTCTGATCCTTCTTTGAGATGGGGTTGTGTTAATTGGCTGTACTTAAATTTCAAGTCTCAGATGTCAAATGTTTGAGCAGCATGGTGGAAATAATCATTTATAATATTTATAATCAGTTAACTTGTGAATTATGGACTTCAAGCCCTGTCTATATGGGAAACCAGGAAATGTTAAAAGAAAGAAAATTATTATTACCTTACTTATACTTGAACATTTCCAATGGAACTGTTTTTTTTTGGAAACAATATTTTCAGATTTTAAATGTAATTTTAAATGATTTTAAAAAAATATATAAATGACATGTTATGAGGGAGAAAGAGTTATCATTTCAAATTTTATCTTGACCCGGTTTTTTTTACTGTTCTTGACCACAGTTGACCACATTCAATAACACATCCCCATATGCCCTTTTTCTTGGTAGAATAGCTGACCGCCTGTACTAATCATCAATGTGTCTTTTTTTCCTACAGTGAGCCACATTCCCGGTTTTATGCAGCTCAAATAGTATTGGCATTTGAATATCTCCATTATTTGGATCTCATTTACCGAGATCTCAAGCCAGAGAATTTACTAATTGACTCTCATGGCTATCTTAAAGTAAGTAAGAGGTTTTGCCTGTGCTGATGAGGAATGTTTCCAACCTGTGGTATATGTGTGATCCCCAATTCCCAGTGTCCCTCTAACCTTCACTCCCTTAATATAGTTTGGTTGATGCATCATGTTGTTATAGAATGCTATACATATGTATTGTGCATTTTTTTCTTTTTGACAGTGAGCCGCATTCCAGGTTTTATGCTGCACAAATAGTATTGGTCTTGGAATACTTACATAATTTGGATTGTATGTACCGTGATTTAAAACCAGAAAACCTACTCGTAGATACCCAAGGTTATCTGAAGGTACGGTGTGGTGTTGTTCTGAAACAGTAGGACTTGTTGCTATATTCTGACAGCAACTGTCTCTAGCTCTGACATACACCTTACCCTAGGCCAGGGTAAGCTTTCAGTGTGTGCTTAACGTCCAGTGTCTGGTGAAAGGGTACTTACATAAGGAACATGACTGGTTTTCTTTTAATTACCTGATTTCTCACAATTCTTGTCTTTGTAGCAAGCTAAACCTCAATTCTCATTTGAGCTTTAATGTCTTGTGGCATGTAATTGCTTTCCATTTGACCTCACCTTATCTCTTTGCTTTTCCTGTAGCATGTAGGTGTCTTCAGCTTGTAGAGGTTGCTTTATGTGCTTAAATGCTTAGATAACACTGCATGTGTTGAATGTGTGCATGTATTGAATGTGTGTACTGTCAGATCTGTGTTGAAATCTCAAACCAAATTTATCATTTTGTGTTTAATTGCTTTGTATGCTCAATATATGTAAGAATTTTTAGGTATAGCTTCTAGATGATTGTGATGCTCTGAGGGATTTGACTGTAAGTTATCATTGGAACATCAAGACCTGAGATCTACCTGAAAACATCTTAGGCAGCATGACCAGGTATAGCTTCTAGATTAATATATTGCCTTGAAAGGCTGGAATTTAAGTTATCATTCAGAAAGGCCACGGATCTGCATGAAGAAAATTTTTATAGCATGACTAGCTGACATAAAGATAGACCAAAATCCTGCCCTTTAGTTGTGTCCAGTCAGAGGTTTGATAACTTGGCAGCTTACATGATGCAGCAGCTGGCAGCCCCTCTGGATCCCCAATCTACTGTATGTGTTAATACCAAGGTTAATGCATCAAGTGCATTAGACTCAAAGTGAATGCTTCAGATAATGCTACAATAATGCATGTATCTCTCTGTGTTAAACAGGATGTCTTTTTTCTGGTTTGTTTAGTCTTTATCTTTGAAGAGGTTCAAAAGTCAAAGATTACTTGTAAAGCTTATGGTGATAGATTTTCTTACCTTTGCAAGTTTATAATAAATACAGTAAATTATTTGGGTTGATATTTTTTTCAAGATGTATACCCAGTTTTCTGAAAGAAGGAGATTTTCAGGTCTAATTTGTAGTACATGCATATTTTGTAGTTATATGTGATAATATAATCCAGTCATATACTTGCTGTAGCTTATTTAAGTGTTGCTAAAGGCAGTTTTGGTTATTGTGGGGGTGGAGTTGGAGCCGAATGCCACAAATTTACATAATTACCCTTTCTTATGCCATATTCCCGATAGTATTTTAGTTCACAAGAGGAAGTTATTGATCGTACATGTACCGAGACAAGCTGGAACCATCACAGAATTACTTGTCTTTTATCTAGATCTAGATCCATTTCGTTTTCTCAGCAGTTAGTGGCTACAAAGAAAGAGATTCAATTCATTATCTATTCTTGTAAAACCTACACAAACAATTTGTCTGGATACAATTACTTTAAATTTGTCATTATGTTGTTTACATTTTGTATTAAAATAATGTAATTACTGTGCTGTATTTTAGATATAGCTTCTGTAGGTCACCATTATTAGATTGTTACGTGGTTTATAGTTGTCTTGTTTGTCAGGAGATCATTTGTGATAACAGATTCCAACAAAAATTCCAATAAATTTGCCCTTAAAACCTTGATTTACATCAGAATATGTCTTTCTAATAATTTATCAAAAACTTCAATAAAAGTGCAAACTGTGTGTGTTCTTGTCCTCTGAAGAACTATTGAAATTTCTACCTCTTTGCGAGTGGCATTCTGCTCAGGTGTACATATTGTCTGTTTTTCCCAAGACTACTTTCCTTCAAACTAGATCTCATGTGTAGAATTTTCCATGCATGATCCTATACACCATAGCTGAATGTGACAGCCATGTTTGAATAGCATGTTCTACAATGATTGTATCTCCTACTCTACATAATATGCTTACTGGCTCTGTCCCCCTCCCTAGTTATCACCCCATCTGTAACAGACTCCTATACACAAGGTTGAACCCCACATAAAATTCACAATGGCTGTATGTGAATGTTTGTCATTATTGTATCTATAAATAGCTTCTGTTACTTTAAATAGCAACAGTTGGAACAATTTCAATGTAAGTCATTCATGTTATGTAGTTATAAATCCATTAAGGCTGCTTGCCTGGTGACCAGCCAGGTGTGGCACTGTTTCTACCTGTGCTTTAACAGCCTACTTGATTCGTGTATATATGTGGGTGATTTGTACACTTGACAGCACAACCTGCTCTCACAATGGCAGAGAGCAAAGTTTTTTTAACTATTCAATACAACTGGGTATATGTGGATCTATCTTTTCTTTCTACGGCTCCCTAATCGTGTACAATAAAATTCTGTAAGGCACTGGAGAAGCAGCTCATAACCTATTGATCTCCTGAACATCCATGGCAACAGGCTGTCCTGGAGAGGACTTTGCAAACATGGATTACCATGTTATAGCACACTGAATTCAACTGTTAGGTCGTTGATAATTCTTTGGTGTAATCACTGGTCAGCAACCTCAGGGTCAAGTGGACAGATTTCTAATCGTGGCCTTGAATTAACAAACTTAATAAAAAGTTTACCCAGTGCAGCCAGGCAGTTTGTGTATTATATATGAGGCAATTGATTGGAAGGTACGCCAGAGGCCTATGTGATTATTTATAGGCTGGCTCCATCAATCATAATTGTATACAGGAACCCATCAAGTAGTTGTATAAGGATTATGTTTTCCAGTAAACAATTATTTTTTGTTTGCAAGTGTGTTATTTTGTGCATGATTTACATTCTACCTAGAGTCATCACAGAGTATTTTTGTCCATTTCTTCAACGTGTTTGGCATTTTCTCATTGAAACAGACGAGCAAGCATGTGTCCCCAGCTGTAATTGTACCCAAAAACCTGTCAATAAGCCCTTGCTTAGTAATAAGCCCACACATATGAGTTATTGTTCTAAAGAATTACAAACAAATGCCAAGTCAATGTCCTGTACCAGGCTCACCCTCTGTCTTTGAGTCACAGGTGATGTGTTGAGTCCTTGGGGAAATTCCATGTGAAAAGAATACATCCAGGCTAGTTTTATAGAACTACAATGTTCAATAATATATTGCATCCAACAAAATGTTTAGGATGGAACAGGTCGTAACATACTGACACAAGTGATCTTGTCTGAAATACTAAATATCTGATGTGGCAGGGAAATGTGTCGAATGTCTAGCTTAAGTGTGAAATAAGTCCACACTTCTAACTTTGACTATTACTTGGTACACTACAGTATTGACACACCTTATTCTTCTGTCTTGATTGTACAATACATGAATGTCTTGGATGTTTCTTTATACTTGTATATCATCCTTGATCTGAAGTAGGAGATTGTTGTGTGAGAAAGTATTATACGGCACCTAAGGACCAGTATTGATCAGAATTGGAGCTTCTTGGTTTCCTGGGTGATATGTGTCTCCTTTTAGATTGGTAGTAGATTTAGCTGATAGCTCAGTATGTACATAGCAGCCTGGTATTGATTGTTATGCTCCTAAGTCACTTCTATGTACTGAAGGACGTTTCAAATTTCATTAAATTTTTTCCAGTAAAAAAAAATCGTTCATTTTATACAAAGTATTTGATAGGTTGAGAACAGCTGCTTTATGCCAGTGTCTGCGTCAGTCATTCTCATGTACATCTATCTGGTTAAGGGTATCTAGCAACTGAAGGCTAATGGGACACATCTTAAATTCAGTTTGATAATTCATTGAAAAGAAAGATGACACTTAATGCTGGGTTGGTGGGACAATGTAAGAATATATGAAATCTAGCTTTTTCATTAATGAGTGCTTGTTCAATCAGCAGTGATCACTTCAGTTGAAACATATTTAGTTCTAGTCCAGTTCTTAAAATATGGTGCACTACATTATGATATGGATTTGCTATACTGTGACAACATTTTGCATTTATGTTCATGTAATGTGAGAGTTATTTATGGCATAATAGCTGGTTGTCGAATGAGCATTGTACATACAATGGTCTTATTATGATCATGAACTTTAATCGTTTTATTGGTGTTGCCAATATTCTTGATGGCCTTTTAGTACTGAACGTACTGATAAGATCAAGGGATTGGGGGAAGGGGGTGGTGGGGGTGGGGGGTGTTGGGGGGGGGGGGGGGGGGTAGAAGGAACTTGTTCATTAAGTTTTTAATTGTTTATTGTATTGTAATACTGCTTCTCTATAGACATTTAGCATCTGTTTGTTAATTGGAAATAATGTACACCTGATGAAATCCATACATGATTAGGAATGACCTTTTTGTACTCTGTGGTTAATTTTTCCTTGCCTGTTTTATATCAGTTACCTTGGGTATACTGAGAAAGAATTCACAGAAGATAGGTACCTAGTTTGTATGTTACATTTTTTGTTTGTTTCCTTTGTTTAAAAAAAAGAAGTGCTGCACTGTTTGTTGTCAATGTTGGTTTGATATAGATTGTTTTGTTTCACTGCAGTACACAGCATTTTTGTCAGATCATGGAATGTGAAAACATCCCATATTGCACTTTTTCTGGCACAAGAGCTGCTAGCATATTCATTGGCTATGTGTATATGTGTGTGAAGGCCTACAGTGTATACTGGGGCTACAGCTGCCAAACCCACCAGACATCTGGTTAATGCAATGAAAGAGCTCTTGTCACCATAGCAACCACAAGCTAACTACCAATGCTTTGTACAAGATAATGTCTGCAGGGCAAATAAGTTGAAATGATAATGAAAAAAATATATATATAGCTTAAATATCTGCGAGACCAAAAAAAAAAAAAAACTGAAAATAATAATTATAATGATAGTCACATTTTTTCATAACTGTGTACTTTGATTAGACATGAGTCTCATAAAGTTCTATTCTTTAAACATAACTTACATTAAACTTTTGTATTTGTACTAAAATACTCTAAATAAGATCAAATCAAGCTATTTTTCATTTCTTTAACTACTAAATCTTACATTATCTCAAATGAATGGAAGTGAACAAGAAGTTTGCACAGACTAATACTTGCAAGAATCATCTCGGCTTTCAATAAAATATTTCTGTAATAATTGTTTTCTGTAAATTGTCAAAATTTTTTAGTGTTTCTTTGTGTGTGAATTAAAAAAAAAAGAGACATTACTGATGAAATGAGATTCCTGTACATTTGTTAAATTACGTTTCACTGAGGATAGTGATATCATCATAGCCATTAAATAAAAATTCAATGATAATGAAAAATATGAAGTAAAAATAGAACTTTAAAAAAAAAATACAATTATTTGATTGTCAGATTAACAAGAGATTGTAATCAATTTCTTGTATATTCAATTGGTAATGTTTATATTGGCTTTGTATTCTTTGGGAAGTAAGTTATTTGTAATTATGTCTATAAACATGTAGTGTTTGGTAAGTATAGAACCTGAGAACCGTGAATTAACAGCTTTTAGATATTTTGATTGTTTTTTTGATCAGGTGACAGACTTTGGATTTGCTAAGAGAGTAAAAGGCCGTACCTGGACACTGTGTGGTACTCCTGAATACTTGGCACCAGAAATTATCCTCAGCAAGGTAAATCAATGAAAGTTAAAATCTTTCCCAGGTAGAGAAGTATCTCACTGCTAATAACTACCATTCAATCTTTGTTTCTTTTTCTTGGTTTAAAAATTTGGAGCAAAGAAGATGTCGTGAAACGGGCTATGGTTTTGTCTGTAAAATTCATTTGCTTAGTATAAGGTTTCTATGGTTTAGTTGTATCCTCAAAAATAGTGAAAAATAGAACCGTTTGAATGTAACTGCTTTTATGGTGCCTGTAATGTAAGGTTTGTTTCTGTAAAACATCCAAAAAAGACTCCAGACAATATTTAAGTTTGTTGTCTGTCAGTTCAGTTATGGAATTCATAGTCCAGAGCTTGTACTCAAGTGTTTTAAAGGCTGTGCTCAAATAATTACAAAAGAGACTGACCTAGCTCCAGGATAATGAAACAATCTTCAGTCTAAGGCTGTCTTAAATTTTGACCAAGCAAATCACGGATAAGGTCATGAAAAGTGGTGTCATGTGATTGTCCAAGCCAAAAATTGAGTTTCATGATCCCAAGGCCTGGTTTGGTTAATACCTCAGTTAAAGTATAGCCAGCTGCGGCTACTAGAGCTACAGGTCTCGTTTTCTTAATGAAAATGTACAACTGTATTTGCCCTGCAATAAGGTCAGGAAATCCAAAACAAACTCTCACTAAAAGTGGGGATGGGCTTATAAGATATTGAAGTAATATTTGTTGGCAAAGCTGCTAGATATGAAGTAGAGGTGGATGGGTTTAATGCCAGACATCGGCTTATTGCTAGATAAATATAGTGTGTTGCTTGACAAAGCATATGTACAGATGAAAGAATTTTTTAATATGTGAATAAGTAAATCATGCTTTCAGATATATGCAGAATGTAGTTTCAGAAGATAATACACTTATTAAGTATATGTATCATATAGTGATACATAAAAATTACAACAAGGTTGATGCATTGTATTTTCTAGGGCTACAACAAAGCAGTGGACTGGTGGGCATTGGGAGTCCTGGTGTATGAAATGGCAGCAGGTTATCCACCCTTCTTTGCTGACCAACCTATACAGATCTATGAAAAGATTGTCTCTGGCAAGGTATAATTCGATCAGAATTGGACAGCAGGGAAATTCATAATTTTATCATTTATAAACCTGAGATGCTTTCTGCAGATTGTTTGAGTGGTTGAAGATTTGATTTGAGGAAATAAATAGACAAATAACTGATATTTGTTGATAATAACTGGTATGAAACTTGTAGGAGACTGTCCACATACATCATAATCCTACAGAACAATGTTGTCTTCAAAATTGGTCAAATGTTGAGACCAACAGTCTTTGTTAAAAAAATCAGTTCTTATCTCAGCTATCATTGAAAATTACTCAATTTTTCTTCAATGTAAAAAATGTATTTGCCCCTCAATAGTATATCTTTACATGTATATATGAAAAAATGTAGTCTCTTAATTAATTGGTTTGCACATCACAGGTACGATTCCCCTCGCACTTCAGCTCAGATCTTAAGGATCTATTGCGTAACCTTCTTCAAGTGGACCTCACAAAACGATATGGCAACCTCAAGAATGCTGTCAATGATATAAAGAACCACAGATGGTTCCAATCCACAGACTGGATTGCTATCTACCAAAGAAAGGTGAGTTCCTCTACAGACAGTAACCTGTAGGGCACATATTTGTAAACAATACCAATTCTGATTTGTTTATCTCTCCAGATTTTATGAGCAAGACTGATAAAAGTTGAACAACTCGCAATTGACTTTTGTAGTTTATCTCTTAGGAGACACTGTATTGATTGCAGCTGTACTGAGGTTTTGTTTATTTTGTTTCTACTTTCGAAAAATTTGTTGTAACAATACATTACAATGCAAATAGATATTCTACAATTACAGTAAGGATTCATTTCATAAATCTTGGTGTATGTTCTTGATGAAAGTGACAGAATTTGAGTCGAACCCTCTCATTGTGAAGTTAACATCTATTATTGTGACCTGGTTTTTCAATTGAAAAGATAAGCCGTAAAATCATCAAATTGATGTAAAAATCTTTAACTTTGTCATCATCACAAAATTTTATTCAAAGTAGTCATTTACAAACAAGCAACACTTGAACAAAATACATTACATAATTCATAAATTGTCTGAAATTATCAAAATTAAGCTGAAGAGAGCTTGAACCTCTAGACATAGCTGTGTTGGATGCTGTTTTATGTTGTTATCGTTTTTACCCTAGGTGGATGCTCCCTTTGTACCAAAATGCAAAGGCCCTGGGGACGCAAGTAACTTTGATGATTACGAGGAAGAACCACTGAGAATATCATCAACAGAAAAGTGTGCTAAGGAATTTGCAGACTTTTGAGGATGTAGAAACAGAATAGTAAACCCCCATTGGTTGTTCTCATCAAGGTAAAGTGTTGTCACTTGAACATCTCGGTGACAGATCTCATCAAGCATCGATAAATCCCACATGTGCAATACATGCAGTATGCAGCTTGAGCAGGGAGTGAACAATGATTTGTTGTGGCAAAGAGTTCAATATTTATGTTAAACCAACAAAAAACTGGCCAAATTATGTGTGTAGCCTGCAAAGACAGACTGATCAAATCATTATTTAATGTTTCAGTTGTTTGTGGACATGTCTGTGATATTGGGTGTTCAATCCCAGTCAGACTGCACATGTGAAACTGGCTGTTGATTGACGTAGAAACGATGGAAGGCCCCAATGATGGGCGAGTGTATGACTGCATACACAGTGACTGTCCAAGGCTATGATATGATATTACAGGAATTGTGGCCATATCGGCAGATGTGATGGGAATGTTTGGCATTTAACACCTGTGCTACATGATCAAGATGATCAAGTTATATTAACATTGATCAGTGTTTGTTTTGAGCGACATACAGATACATCTTCTTAGAATGTATATGACTATTGTATTTTGTTATGGATGAAGCTGTACATAATTTACAAATTTTACATATTTCAGATGGATTTTTATACTGAATGAATGACTGTTTTAATCAAGTTCTGCTGTACTATATAGGTGTTCACTAGTCTTGGTCGAGTAGTGAATTTTTTTTTTCTCTCATTTACCTCCTCTTTCCTGATGCCAATTTATCTGTGAAGTTTGTCTTAAGGTGTTAAAATAAATGGTCTGTGTTGGCTGTAACAACTTGCTTCACTATGATTACCGGTAATGATACTTGGCTCATGTTCACATTATAAAACTTACAATTGGTAGCTCCATGACAAGATAACAAACAGAGATGTAATACCATTGTTGTGTTGTCAAAATACATATTCAACAGCCAAACTTCAAAGCAAATAGATGTTGGGTTAAAAATTGCAAATTATGAAATTGTATTTGTTTTAGTTTTTTAATGGGGCATTTGAGTTATATAACTTAAATGTTTGTGTTGTTCTTTAAATTATTCTTTGATATTTTGGTGGAAATGGGTGATAAATGACACAAGGTTATCAGTCACATTATTTGAATTGGTGTTTCCAGCAAAAGAGTATGTGTGGGAAATGAGTGCTCTTATTCAGCATAACTTATTTTTGTATCTCTTTGAATGTCAATTTTCATTGTCCCATCTCACTTGGAGCTGGTGCTGATTTATATCGTGTTTGCATGACTGCAAGTTTCTCTCAAAAGTATGGGTTAGAAGAATCAATTCAGTCTCATCATCTGTTATTTAGCATTTTAAACCTCATCTAATTGTAACAACTAGTTACACCAAGTATGAATTTCTTAACAATATTAGAAAGTGGGAACATATATTGAAAAAATAAGTTGTGCAAATTTTTACAAACACCTGTACTAGTTTTCTTGAGCACAAGTCATATAAGATTGACATTTCCAGAAACGGTGCTCAACATACCATTTCGGAGCTGTTCATAAACATTGTAAAAGATGTGGTTTGTTATCTGTCAGTTTTGTAATTATTGTGTTGTTTCTTTTGGTCACATTCAGTTATTTTCATAAATATTTCATTAGAAAATTTGAATGCTGATTCAAAATATTGCACACCTGACAATTTCTTCGGACGTATGGTTCAGTAACCAAGCAGAAGCTATAAGGTAGAATGTGTGGTTATGTGAATTTACTGTTACAAGTTAAATACATGTTCAGTGCCGTGCTTATTGTAGTGTCGCAGATCTGAATCAATGCCAAGTATCATTTTAATATCTAGTGTTTTTTTTGTCTAAAGTAACATTTTAACATCTTGTGATATTTTCAAAATTTTACCATTTTACTGGTAAATTGAAAATAGCCATAAGTGTATAATTATTTCAATTGAATCATATATAATTATTAATATTATTACTATGAAAGCATTTGTTTTAAGTTCTGAGTCATAATTAAGGTAATAATAAATAAGAAAACTGCAGAATCTTTAGTTGTTTTTAATTTGTGAAAGTATGAGTTTGGATACTGAAAAATCATTAATTTTTGTGTGAGCTTTATTTTCGATGATTATGTAGGTATTGTCAATTCACAAATTCATGTGTCCATGAAATAAGAATTTTTGAAATTTTGTTGAAATGTCGACATTGACATTAATTTTCATACAAGTACATTTGTACATTTTAGTCATAAAATAGCATGTCAACCAAACAGCCAAATTTTTTAAAACCACAAAAATTTAAGTCACACAAAAATGTCTGATTTGCAGTGCAGTTTTTGTCTGTTTGGGGAAAAAAATCTTACATTATCAAAAGATTGCTTCCCCCTCTATTTGCAGTGTTATGGCCCATTCCACAATTTTGTTATGGTTGGGAACAGTACTTTGCCCTTGTGGCTTAATCATAGGCAACAGTTGGCAGTAAAGTACCTTATTGGACTTTAGTGGCATTTATTATGTCGGTTTGTTAATCGCCATGACATGAAGTTGTGTTGTTCGATTGGCAGATCACTTTAGCTGTATTCTGGAAGAGTTACTGCCCTTTGTGATTTCATAAAGTTTATCTCATCATGAGGTATCTTCTGTCAGTCTTCCACCTGTTTCTTTCAAACTTTGTAGGCTTTATAACCATCATATCAAATCGTTTTGAAGGAGTATTTACCTTTTTTTTTCAGCATTTCAAATCTGACATCAAGATCTTCCCAAGTCTTCATTTTACTGGTCTTTATAACCATTACTTGACATTGTTTTCCTTAATACCATTATAATTTTACAATTGTTTGAAGAGATCTTACAATTAAGTTAGGTAGGCTTAAAACCATAACGTGACCTATAGCTTGTGTTTTTCACAAACATTATTTTGATTTAATGATATTTCAGATATTTTCCTTTGTTGTTTTCAGCACTTCAGTTTTCCCTGTCCCTTAAAACTTCATTTGCTTTATCACAAAACATACAAGTTTTCTTTTTTGGCATCATTTCAATGTGACGAGTTATCTTTCTTTAGCATGGGATGGATTTGTTCTTCACCATCGTAACCTTTTATGAGTAGCAGTTATGTACTAGCTTAATGACCTTTAACCACATCATTAAGTGGAAAGAATTTATTTCATTTTAAAAAAATCGACAGTTCAAGACTGAAATATTGTCCAATATCGAGATCCTGCTATTGCATCTGATTGCTCATATTGTACATTAAACAGAAGAAACTTGTTGACCTAATGCTATTTACACTAATTACTGGTAAATGGATAGGAGTCTACACAATAATATTAAGGCCTAATATATATCTTTGTCAAGTTTTAATGATCTAATTGATTTGAAAAAAATTAACAACAAATTGTACATTCATAGCATTTTAATTCTTTCATTTGTAGCCCTCTTCTGAAACATAAAATAGTCAAAATAAGGAATTCATAAATCATTGTAAAAACTTTGATCAGCAATTCATTATTCAGAAGAACATCAACATCTATTTATATATCGTCATTAATGAGGAAAAATTCCTAACTAAAGGTAAGAGAATATATTTGTTTATCGCTTGAGAAAATAAATTCTCTGGACATTTCCATGTACAAAACTGATTGACACTCTAGGACAATGATTGGCATTGGCCTTCATCATTTTCATCACATTTCAGACTAACCAAGAACTTGACACAAAGTATTTATAGTTGTAAAATGATCTCGGTAATGGAGAACACATTTTTAAACTGTTAAGTGTAGTAGATTTAATAAAATTACAGAAAGGGTTAAGTATACAGTCATTTTTACTTTGCATATACAACATGTTGCTCTTAACAATTATTAAACTGGTTATATGAAAAAGGGACAAAACTAGGATCCAGTTCCTCATTGTTTCACATCTCAAATAAATAATATCAACCATTTTCAAATAAATGTAACCGATTCTTAAAAGTTCCGAGTCAGCTGCATCTACAACCAATGTATTTTGCACAAGTTACAGCCTAGAATTGCTATGAGTAATGACATGCATATAACACACAAGATTTTTAACTTTTTACTGAATACATCATGACCTAATATTGGGTACATCCTGACCTCATACCATGTACATCATGACCTCATACTTGGTACATCATGACCTCATACTGGGTACATCATGACCTCATACTGGGTACATCATGACCTCATACTAGGTACATCATGTTATTTTACTTGTTACTTCATGACCTTGTAGTGTTTACATCATGACCTCATTTTGGGTACATCACGACCTTGTAGTGTTCACATCATGACCTCATACTGGGTACATCATGACCTCATACTAGGCACATCATGATCTCATAACTGGGTATATCATCTTAAAACCGGGTACATCATGATCTCTTACTTGGTACATCATAATCTTGTACAGGTATTTAATAACCTTTTTCTCTACTGGGTATACTGTTACCCTGTACTGTGTATATAAAAACCTTGTTCACTGTACTGGGTATACTGTTGCCTTGTACTGTGTATATAAAAACCTTGTTCACTGTACTGGGTATACTGTTACCCTGTACAGTGTACATAAAAACCTTGTTCACTGTACTGGGTATACTGTTGCCTTGTACTGTGTATATAAAAACCTTGTTCACTGTACTGGGTATACTGTTACCCTGTACTGTGTATATAAAAACCTTGTTCACTGTACTGGGTATACTGTTGCCTTGTACTGTGTATATAAAAACCTTGTTCACTGTACTGGGTATACTGTTGCCTTGTACTATATACATTTTAACCTGGTACATGGAACATCATGAACATTTACAGATTATAAGTTAAGTGTTAATGTAATAACTACAGAAAGACAGCAGTTTTGTAACAGACAGCGCCAATATCACTGATTCACTTAAGCTTGTACAAAGAACAGAATCTGGCTCTACTTTTCATAAATGATATTTTATGAGATTTCTTTAATCTAAAGAAGAAGGGAAGCTATTGCTACCAAGGACATATAACAATTAATAGTACTTTTCTTCAGAGCTCTTGGTCAGACTATATGTAAGCAATTCAAGCTAACATTCCAATCAGCTAGCAAAACATAGGTTGCCACACAGATAGGTAAATAGGGCCAAGAGAAAATTGTCTCTGTGTTTCTGATAAGCACTTGTTACACATATTTCACAGTAAACAAAGTAAAACTGACATTTTTTGAACTCAAGAGTTAACTTTTTCTCAACAAGTGTCTAAGTGTAGTTGTAATAAATATCAAAATCAATAACAACAGTGGTATAGAACATTGGATCTATGACCAGTAAGATAAAGAACATTACCCACTTCTCGTAACCAGTAAGTATTCAGTGCTGTTCCTATTTATATTGTATTATAAATCATTGCAGTGATAGTCAGTCAGCATGAGTGAATTCTATGTGGATTGAGTGTTTAGCCTGGACCATCCACCCTTGGCCCATTTCACTAACAGGTTTCACATATTAGGTCATTAGGGCACATACATATCAGAAGTAGTTTACATCTTGATAGTCTCTCTAATTCAACCAAGGCAAATGTTATATATATCAACAATGGCAGACTTAATCATGGAGAGTTTATATCACAGCACTAAACATGAGGCCTTCCTTTCTGTACTGACTTTACAGAGCATGTCCTTGACATCACCAGGCATTCATCAATCCCATAATGCATTTTCTGACCTTCAAATTACATTCACTTGATCATGATCTCACAGTGCACTTGTTTGACCCCCAGAGTGCACTCATTTGACCCCAAAGTGCATTCCTGTTAACCCTTCTTGCCCTCACTTGACTCAATAGTTCATTCACTTGATCATTATCTCATAATGCTCTTGCTTGACCCCAAAGTGCACTCACTTAACCCCATGACATTTATAAAGTGCATCAAGTTACATCCACCTTCATGGAATAAACATTCTCTGCCATGTCCCACCTTGAACTTTGACATATTAAAATACTTTCTTTAGTAGTCTTAATCATGAAGAGCCATAGAGAAATCTACTCTTGACACTTTAATGTAATCTTTGTTCATCCATGAGAATTGCTGATGAGGAAAGTGAATTTGATCCGGACAACAGATAGCAACCGGTCAAGTGTTGGGCTTCTGTACTTTTTCTTCCTCCTCAGTAGACATGTGTGAGTCTGACTGACCATCTGTTGGGACAGTCTTGACCGTTGTGTCTGTCTCCATGTCAGATTTGTTTCCATTTGTATCCATGTCCAAGGCTGATCCGGTCCCTTCATGGGTTTCTAGCTCCATCAGCAGAGCATTGGCATCATCCAAAGTAGACTGAAATCACAAAATATATAGACAGTAGATACCTCTGTCAGAGTATACAGAAATCATGGAATATATATACAGTAGATACTCCTGTCAGGGTTTACAGAAATCATGGAATATATATACAGTAGATACCTCTGTCAGGGTTTACAGAAATTATGGAATATATATACAGTATGGAATATATAGACCATCTCTGTTAGGGTAGACAGGGTATATAGAAATCTCTATTAGGGTACATGGAATATATAGACAGTAAACATCTCTATTAGGGTAGACAGAAATTATGGAATATATAGACAGTAAACATCTCTGTTAGGGTATACAGAAATTATGGAATATATAGACAGTAAACATCTCTGTTAGGGTAGACAGAAATTATGGAATATATAGACAGTAAACATCTCTATTAGGGTATACAGAAATTATGGAATATATAGACAGTAAACATCTCTGTTAGGGTATACAGAAATTATGGAATATATAGACAGTAAACATCTCTGTTAGGGTAGACAGAAATTATGGAATATATAGACAGTAAACATCTCTGTTAGGGTAGACAGAAATTATGGAATATATAGACAGTAAACATCTCTATTAGGGTATACAGAAATTATGGAATATATAGACAGTAAACATCTCTATTAGGGTAGACAGAAATTATGGAATATATAGACAGAAATTATGGAATATATATATAGACAGTAAACATCTCTGTTAGGGTAGACAGAAATTATGGAATATATAGACAGTAAACATCTCTGTTAGGGTAGACAGAAATTATGGAATATATAGACAGTAAGCATCTCTGTTAGGGTATACAGAAATTATGGAATATATAGACAGTAAGCATCTCTGTTAGGGTATACAGAAATTATGGAATATATAGACAGTAAGCATCTCTGTTAGGGTATACAGAAATTATGGAATATATAGACAGTAAGCATCTCTGTTAGGGTATACAGAAATTATGAAATATATAGACAGTAAGCATCTCTGTTAGGGTATACAGAAATTATGGAATATATAGACAGTAAGCATCTCTGTTAGGGTATACAGAAATTATGGAATATATAGACAGTAAAGATCTCTGTTAGGGTATACAGAAATTATGGAATATATAGACAGTAAAGATCTCTGTTAGGGTATACAGAAATTATGGAATATATAGACAGTAAGCATCTCTATTAGGGTAGACAGAAATCACATATATCAAACACAGAGCAAGGTATAGGAAATTCCAAGATCGGTTACCATTCAAAGTCAATAAATGGTCTAACCTGTGCACTGATTGTTCGCTGGAATGATTTGCGATTGGAATCTTCATTAGACACCGTTGAAGTGGAGGAAGGATTCCAATAATACTCAGACATCTGGAAAACAAGCAAAACAACTTAACAAGACTGTTCAAATGATACATATCTAAATTAAAAAAGATAGACTACAAATTCTAAAACAGTCATATATAACATACATTTCATGGTAGATTATTCTACTGACACAGTGACACTGGTTACTTACAAAGACAGAGAGTATTATATCAGATTGACAGCATTACACAACATGGAATGGTTATTGTATTTTATTATGTAATAAAATATTGAAATCACATGACCAGCAGTATTTTACCTTTTTCTTCAGCCAGTTGACCGCCCACTGCCACTTGGGAGGGATTTGCATTAGGTAGTTCTTTGCCGCAGAGCACCTGTTGGCCAGACTGACCAGGAACTTGATACAAGAGTAAGACCTTCTACTGTCCAGCAAGTGGTTTTGTCGTATCACACCTGTAGGGCAATACTCAGGGTTAAATGACCATAATTTTTTAAAGGAAATGTACTGGTTTAGCTCTATTTTATGGCTAAATGTTTGAATGAATGCTGGAAAAATCACTTAAGGGTACATGCTTCCATAATGTAACACAATTACAAATTGGAGGATATATACTTCCTTATAGAAACACAATTACAGATTTAAGAGTACAAGCTTGCTGAATGTACAATCACCAATTTATGGGTATATGTCTCCTTATTGTAACACAATTACAGATTTAAGGGTATATAGTTCCTTATTGTAACACAATTACAGATTTAAGGGTACATGTTTCCTTATTGTAACACAATTACAGATTTAAGGGTATATAGTTCCTTATTGTAACACAATTACAGATTTAAGGGTATATGTTTCCTTATTGTAACACAATTACAGATTTAAGGGTACATGTTTCCTTATTGTAACACAATTACAGATTTAAGGGTATATAGTTCCTTATTGTAACACAATTACAGATTTAAGGGTATATGTTTCCTTACTGTAACACAATTACAGATTTAAGGGTATATGTTTCCTTATTGTAACACAATTACAGATTTAAGGGTATATAGTTCCTTATTGTAACACAATTACAGATTTAAGGGTACATGTCTCCTTATTGTAACACAATTACAGATTTAAGGGTATATAGTTCCTTATTGTAACACAATTACAGATTTAAGGGTATATGTTTCCTTATTGTAACACAATTACAGATTTAAGGGTACATGTCTCCTTATTGTAACACAATTACAGATTTAAGGGTATATGTTTCCTTATTGTAACACAATTACAGATTTAAGGCTAATAGTTCCTTATTGTAACACAATTACAGATTTAAGGGTATATAGTTCCTTATTGTAACACAATTACAGATTTAAGGATATATGTTTCCTTATTGTAACACAATTACAGATTTAAGGGTATATGTTTCCTTATTGTAACACAATTACAGATTTAAGGATATATGTTTCCTTATTGTAACACAATTACAGATTTAAGGGTATATAGTTCCTTATTGTAACACAATTACAGATTTAAGAATACAAGCTACCTTATTGTAATACTATTACAGATTTAAGGGTATATGCTGCCTTACTCTAATACAGTTACAGATTTACAGATATATCCTTCCTGTCTAGGAATGGAAAAACTGTGACTTACACATTGCATGGATCCTATTATTCAAAGGTATACAGTGCCTTATCATGAAAATTGATCTTTCTTCTTAAAGAACTTAATGAAAAAAATGAGATTTTGGTGTCCATCATAGAATGATCTTTATTGATATTATGCTTGACAAATCTTTCCTCTATTTTTTCCCTTTTTTCTATTCATCATTTGAAAACAGTTGAATCAAACAAATGAAATTTAAGAAAGATCTACTAATTTTTTTTTCCGTTTTGATAAAGAGTGATGATAAACTTTAACTGTCCATCATTTTGTTTCACTGATCTATCCCAAAAATAAATGTGTACAACTAGGGACCATGGGGAACAAACACAACTAGTTTCAGAAATATCCTTCTAGTTCTTCTGAAGAACTGGCATAAACAATCTTCAACTGTCAAAATCAAAGATGGCTGGCTGTCGGCCATTCTGTTTCATGATCATCTTAAAAGTACATGGATACAACCAGGGACCATGAGGAACATGCATATTTAAGGTTGAAAAATATCCCTCCAGTGCCTCTTAAGAAATAGCTAAAACAAATTTCAACTGTCAAAATCCAACATGACTGCTTGTTGACAATTTTGTTTAACTAATTGCACTTAAAATTGAATGGACACAACTAGAGACTTTACAAGAAATAGCAATAACAAGGATGACGAACCAGAGGTATAGGGCGATTTGAAATGCCAAATATGGTAGGCTAAAAATGAACATTAATGTCAGCTGGTTAAACTAGCTGGTACTTAACTGATTTCAACAAACGCAGTGATTCTATATATCTATACACTGAAGCTTTCTTCATCAATATTTTATGTTCATGAAGGGTGACAACCTTGACATAAAATATTACACATATAGTGTTTAAAGTAGTATTTGATCTTCAAAACATGATTCTATATCCCAGAGTACAATGATAGCCAAGTACTTACCTATAAGTCCCTCGTACTGAGTCCCAGAGTCATCTATAGTACCCTCTATGACTAGTTCCAGGCGAGACAGTTGCACTGGGTCTTCTAAAGACTGTAAAATGATAGGAAAATACACACAGTTATCACCTTTACCAAGGAAATCTATTTTATGTACTAATATAATAGCTATTGTTGTAATAAGTCACTGTATCAAAGGCGAAAACATCAGTACTGATAAGTATGATGTATATACTGATTTCACTGTTGTTGGCAGGAATGGCAGTATTGATAGTAAGTACTGGTTTACATATCAATTTGACCTTTGTTGGTGGGGACGACAGTACTGAAAAGTACTGGTGTATATACCAATTTCACCTTTGTTGGTGGGGACAGCAGTACTGAAAAGTACTGGTTTATCTACCAATTTCACCTTTGTTGGTGGGGAAGGCAGTACTGTAAAGTACAGGTGTATATACCAATTTCATCCTTGCTGTAGGAGACTGGAATACTGAAAAGTACTGTTTTATATTCTGATTTCTCCCTTGTTGGTCAGGATGGCAGTACTAATAAGTATTGGTGTATAAACTGATGTCACTCTGGTTGGTGGAGATGGAAAAACATTGGTGACCTTACAGAGAGAGGAAACTTGAGTACCTGGGGTAGACCCTTTGTAACACCAACATACATACTACCTATTATATTGATTTATCTGTTGTAAGCCCAGGGGACCAACACCTTGGCCGTAGTTCTTACTTCATAACAGTGGATTGGTTTACTACAGGACAATGACAAGGATATGGTCATCAAGTTCCCTTGTCATGTTCATTTGTAAATTATATACATTTAAAGTGAGCAACATTGAAAACTGGAAAAGAAATATGCGCAGAATTAGCTGATAATGAAGCTTGAACAAGGGGTTCCGTTAACAAGTCTACCAAGCAAATCTCATGATAATTCATTTGTTCCTTCAAAAGATGATGTGTGGAAAACATTCAGTAAAAGTGCGAAAAGATATCAGCCAATCAGGTCACAGCAGTCTCATAAAATTTCCATAGAATTTGCCGATAATCGAACCAGAACAGTTTCCTAAAAAATTTATCATTCCTTCATAAGATGATATGTGGAAAGACTTCTCATAGAGTAATTAAAGAAATCAGTCAATCAAGTCACAGCAGCCTCATTGAATATGCGCAGAATTAGCCGTTAATCGAACTTTGGCAAGGGATTAAGGAAGTGTACCAACCAAATTTCATTAAAATCTGACTAATCCTCCAAAAGAAATCATGCGGAAAGCAGCTTGTGGATGGATAGATGGAAGGACGCACAGATGGAAGGACGCACAGATAGAACCCATTTAATTATAAAAACCATTGTTTCATACTTTAACTTTTAAAGGCGTGGATATCCATCATGACTAATTTCAGAGCCACAACTCTGGATACCTATAAATACCCACTCATTCTAACACGCTTTATGGCTTTTTAGAGTCAATGTTTTGAATGACATATTGATAACAGATTTGATCCGTAGAGTTTAAACCCTAATTTTAGCTCTACACTATGAGGATGTAATGGCAGATAAACTGAATTTGATGTCTTTCCTTTTTGATAAACATAAACATTTCCATCTCCTCAGTATGTCTCATGAATAATTTAAATAACCCTAACTTAAAGAGCTTCAATAAGAGATATTGAAACCACACCAACAGAACACATAGTTAACTGCCAATCATTTTAATGATAAAACTGCATGTCTCTGGGCATTTTAATGGTAGTTATCACTTGTGGTCAAATCTTTACTACCACAAAATAAATATTTACTTGTATTCATCAACAAGCTGTAAACTTTAGTGCCCTAAACTTTTTCATCACGGCAATTTTTAACCTTACCTTGACCAAACGTCTATTAGAATGTGATCAGGAGTAGACCTTAGTGTTGTGAGGCAATGCTATCAATCTGAATTAAACATGTCCACATGTTCATAAGGTATCTTGCACACAAACGTTTTACTTTGAAAGTGATCAAGAATGACCTACCACTTTCAACCTTGACCAATAACCACCAAATTCAATGCTATGGTGTGGAAAGTGTGCTCATGCCAAAAAATTAGCTGACCTAGGAAAATCGACAATATTATTGTACTTCTGTCTAAAAACTTACTTAACAGACTTATAACATTGTAGAAATGCCAGGACAGCATCACTACTACACATCATCATTACCACACACAAACAATAAACCTAATGTTTTTTTTTGTAATGTTCAAAAAGAAATGGTTACCAGAAGGAACAGATATTTATATCATGGATAGATTTCAGAAATGAATGGGTGATGTACAGAATGTTTTTTTTCTTCTCAATACTGAGTATTGAATTAAAGTAAATTTCCATATGTATAGTCAGTAACAATTCCTTTGCTAGCTGCTGACTATAAACAGGTATGATTGAATTATAGGTCATCCCCCTCGGGTGAAAATATTGCTGGCTATATCTGGAATGGATTGATTCAAAGCTCATCAGCGCTTTCTATATTTAAGTACAGTTCCATTGATTTGATGGTGCCACCCACCCAACATCACACCATATATCACAAGCTTTCCAAGAATATATACTGAAGGCTTTTATAGTTACTGAGTGTCTGAAAGGATAAGACAAAATAAGTAACTGTCTCACAAAAAAATTTAACGGGCAAACAATTCTTAACATGAAAACACCCTCATCACTGTAAACGCAGATATTGCTTTCACAGACAAACAAATTACATGCTTTACGTAACAGGACCTGCCATAGTATGGGAAACACTGTTCTGTGTTTACAGGGTGATACAATTATTCAATAATATGACACATCATCTGCCACCTGTTTTACGTACTTGTTTCAAAATGAATTTAAATTTAAATTCAAGCATGATCTATGATACTATCACAGCAATACTAAAATATTTTCATACATAATTCATTTAAGCTAAAACTATTTTTGGTAGCAAGAGATCATAGGACTCGAAATCCTTTTAAATCTAAAGTTATATTTGGAAAAAGCAGATCTATTTACACTGTTTGAACAATAGTCTAGACATATTTTTGGTTCACGAACGTCTTATGTTAAAGTGCTCAACTGGATAGGTCATTACACAGGCTCTCTACAGGTCAACATTCAGATTAAAACATACAGCTGTTAAAATAATGTAAACAATCTTAAAGCCATATTCATGACATGTAGATGCCTACTTATACAGCTGTACAGACATATACAATCCTGCTCACTACAGGATTGTCCTGTTCATAAGATGTAGGTGTCCAATTATACAGCTGTACAGACATATAAAATCCTGCTCACTACAGGATTATAATGATTGTAAGATGTAGGTGTCTACTTATACAGCTGTACAGACATATAAAATCCTGCTCACTACAGGATTATAATGATCGTAAGATGTAGGTATCTACTTATACAGCTGTACTGACATATACTACCCTGCTCACTACAGGATTATAATGATTGTAAGATGTAGGTGTCTACTTATACAGCTGTACAGACATATAAAATCCTGCTCACTACAGGATTATAATGATTGTAAGATATTATAATTCCACTGAGGATGGACTAAATTTATATACACATGGTAAACTAGAACTGACAGCCTGAGAATAACTAATCCTTCTCAGATGCACAGAGTTTGAAAAGTAATCATGCATTTGCTGTCCACTCTACATTTCAGCTTTATTGGACAACAGTTATGACCAATCAGGAGTGTTCATTATGTTTCCATAGAAACAATTCTGGAAATAATTCAATGCAGCCAAGTTTGTATGAAGTTATTTTGAAGATGATTGTTATATAAACTAGATATTGAAACTGCAATTAGAGCAATAATATTTTAGCACAATACTTCCAGCATGAAATGTGCTACATATATGAATACTTACAATAAATACATTATTGCATAATTTTAGACTGGAATGTGAAATTATGAAAAATCACGGTAAAGACACTCACACATTTCACAAGTAAATTTTCCCCTGAAAATAGTTTGATACATTTACCTGTTTTTGATTTGTACATTACATAGTGTGATTATTTGATCAAATACAATATGTAATCTATTTATACATTCCTACAAATATGCACCATATGCCAACATATAAACCTTAACACAAAGTCAGGCATTGATTTATTGCAGGAAATAGTGTCTATTGATAAACACTTCTACTGAATGCAATCAATAATAGTGGGCTTATTACCAGGCACAGATTTATTGCTGGATAAAAATAGCAACAAAACACAAGTAAAGAATTAAAAGACTTCCGAGAAGCATATGTGGGGTCAAATTGCATTTTATACCCAGCACCCAGCGAACTGAATTACAACCGAAATATAAATATCCACCGGGATATATAATAAAGGAGATAAAGTTCTGTCTTTATTTTATTAAAGGCCGACTGGAAACAACAATTTTTCATTCTCCTTTCCACTCTTCCCCAGATCATATCACCAAGTACACAAAAACCATACTAGAATTCAAATGATTTAGACTTCAAAGCTAACTTAGAGTAAACAACCAGCTGTATTCAACATAAAATAGAGGCTGTCGTAATGCATGGGCTTTTTCAGACGGAATAACTAACTAATTGTATTATTGGAATCAGGTTTAGTGTTGCCATGTGATAAAGAAGAATTGTCTGCCACTTGGATTTTTGTCCTAGTGTAAAGAGTTCACACACCAGTAATCCCTAACACAACATGGTCTATCTTAGTGAAAGTTATTTTTGATATGGTAAAATGTCAAGAATGCTGTAAATTACACTGTTACATCAAGGATGTGTTTTGGTGAGACAAAAATAGTTTCAACACAAAACTACAAACAAAAATAAAACAAGTCTTCAATGCATTGACTTTGAGCCTATAACACTGATTCACCTATGTTCTTATTAGGTCATATACTTATCTGAATAGGGTATTGTCTTGACAGTTTTATGTAAGAATTGAAATGCACAAGAGAACCAAAATATGATGTTACTGATACTTAGTTAATATGTTCATGTGATTTGGGCCAAGACTCAAAGAGATGAACAATCATTCCCATATATTCTGAGAAGATGTTTATCTTTAACAGATTGAAAACTCTATTCTTTATTAAGTTAAGATGTTATGATCCCAGCAAAGTCTTAGTTCCCTTCAATTATCACAAAAGAACAATCCACATTCATTTCTAAACAGTTATCAATTACATTGTGGTTCTAGTGTCAAATCATAATTCTTTTTTTCATATTCCAATTTTCCATACATGAAAATCATATTTTTCCATCCTTCCAAAATATTTTAAATACCAAACAGCAAATTGTATGTAATTAAATTCTTTTATATGTAAATAAAGCAAAGCAGGAACATTATTTCAAGAGATGAAAAACATAGCACTTTGTACTGTTTTTATAATTAGAGAGAAATAAAAGGATAATTATAGGTAAGAAAAGATGAATGAAAGGACAGAAAAGAAGTATGAAAGGACAGAAAAGAAGTTATGAAAGGACAGAAAGGATGTACGAAAGGACAGAAAAGATGTATGAAAGGACAGAAAAGATATATAAAAGGACAGAAAAGAAGTATGAAAGGACAGAAAAGATGTACGAAAGGACAGAAAAGATGTATGAAAGGACAGAAAAGATGTATGAAAGGACATACAGAAAAGATGAAAGGACAGAAAAGATATAAAGGACAGAAAAGATGTATGAAAGGACAGAAAAGATGAATGAAAAGATGTATGAAAAGACAGAAAAGAAGTATGAAAGGACAGAAAAGATGTACGAAAGGACAGGACAGAAAAGATGTACGAAAGGACAGAAAAGATGTATGAAAGGACAGAAAAGATGTAAAGGACAGAAAAGATGAATGAAAGGACAGAAAAGATGTAAAGGACAGAAAAGATGTATGAAAGGACAGAAAAGAAAAATGTGTCAACAGAATGATAAAAGTTCATTATTGACATAACAATTATATTAAAGTGAAACATCTTTCATACATTTTTAAAATATGGAAATTATTCAAAATTTAATACATCTGGTCAACAGAAAATCTTCATCTTGTGTTAAAACCAAAATTCATAATCTAATCTCCTGATGACCATAGCTACCTACAAATCAAAATCTCCTGATGACCATAGCTACCTACACATCAAAATCTCCTGATGACCATAGCTACCTACACATCAAAATCTCCCGATGACCATAGCTACCTACACATCAAAATCTCCCGATGACCATAGCTACCTACACATCAAAATCTCCCGACGACCATAGCTACCTACAAATCAAAATCTCCCGATGACCATAGCTACCTACACATCAAAATCTCCCGATGACCATAGCTACCTACACATCAAAATCTCCCGATGACCATAGCTACCTACAAATCAAAATCTCCCGACGACCATAGCTACCTACAAATCAAAATCTCCCGATGACCATAGCTACCTACACATCAAAATCTCCTGATGACCATAGCTACCTACACATCAAAATCTCCCGATGACCATAGCTACCTACACATCAAAATCTCCCGATGACCATAGCTACCTACAAATCAAAATCTCCCGATGATTATAGCTACCTACAAATCAAAATCTCCTGATGACCATAGCTACCTACAAATCAAAATCTCCCGATGACCATAGCTACCTACAAATCAAAATCTCCCGATGACCATAGCTACCTACAAATCAAAATCTCCTGATGACCATAGCTACCTACAAATCAAAATCTCCCAATGACCATAGCTACCTACAAATCAAAATCTCCCGATGACCATAGCTACCTACAAATCAAAATCTCCCGATGACCATAGCTACCTACAAATCAAAATCTCCCGATGACCATAGCTACCTACAAATCAAAATCTCCCGATGACCATAGCTACCTACAAATCAAAATCTCCCGATGACCATAGCTACCTACAAATCAAAATCTCCCGATGACCATAGCTACCTACAAATCAAAATCTCCTGATGACCATAGCTACCTACACATCAAAATCTCCTGATGACCATAGCTACCTACACATCAAAATCTCCTGATGACCATAGCTACCTAAAATTTTAAGAACAATCAACAAAGTACTTCTCAAGCAGTAACAAACTTTCACTGTCAAAATCTAAGATGGTCACCTGTCAGCCAGATCATTTTTCTTATAAGTTTCAAAATTGAAAATTGAACAAAGGGAACTTACACATGAGATTTGAGAAAGATTCATTGAGTATTTCTAATGAAATAGTTGTAACTCGAATCTGTAAGACAGTTTTCTTTCTGATCAGTCAGAAAATAGAGAGGGCACCAATAGGGACCAAAAGAGATCTATCCAGCACTTATCATGGTAAGTTAAAATAGCTATATCAAAAACTGTAATTGCAGGATCCAAGATAGCCATTTGTTGGCCATGTTGTTTTCCTCCATCAGTATCAACATGGAAATCACTAGGGCAGGTCAATGAGATAACATTGGTTTGAAATTTTACTGATTAGCAATATATGGGTTTATCACTGGGCTTATCACTGGGCTGAAAAAGTATGGTAAGTTTAGAAGTGACATTACACAGTCATTGTACAAACAATAATGTAAGTGATATGTCAGTAAGATGCTGATCAGTGTGGTGAAGCTTTCAGACATGCTAAAGAGGTATTAACAAGTTACAACAGTTACCAGATCATATCCCTGTCATTGATGAACAGATCAGGCATATGATTTAGTGATGATTCTGATGAAACATTTCAATTATTTTGTTCTCGGTTCTTTGAAAATTATCAAGTTGATTATTACATAAAATGGTTTCCCCTGATTTCTGTGCTAAAGAACCCTACATCTGTGAGAAAACTTAACTTTGCTCTTATTAATTTCAATTTTTCATGAATGCAAAGCAAATTAATGTTAACAAAATGAAACTAAAAGAAAAATTAAAAAACAAAAAAAAAAAAAACCACACAAAGCCCCCTTTCATCTTTTTTTTCCACATCTTTGATTTGACCTTTCCACGTAAGAATTAAAATTGCAACCATACATGAGAAGTTCTGAACTGCTGTGGCACTAGAGAAGGGAAGTAACTCCAACGTGTCAAATGTATAAATAAGCCATTCAGGAATGATGTTTTCCACAGATATATGATCTTTATTGACTATATATAAAGAAAGGACATGTTTCTTTTATGGATTTTCTTAAGATAATTCTTAAGTACACAATTGTCAAAGGATATGAAAAGTTCATCATTTGGTACTTTTTTTAAAAGAATCAAAAGGATTTAAAAGGTAAACAATCTTTTTAATGAACGGATATCAAATCTAACTCAAGTTCACCTACATCAAAGACAAACTTTCCACATTATAGCGCTACTTGAAGTTTTTTAAACATTACCCTACATGAAGAAAGAAAATTTTTTCAGATACCTAACCCCACACCCCATCCTCCTTGTCTACGTAATTAACAATTAGAATACAACATGTGTATTCTAAATACCTATGACAAAATGGTGCAGTGTGCAATAAAACTGAATTTCCTCCACATGCTGTTAAGTCTTTGCTTGTTTTTATAAGGTAAAATGATTGGCTAATCAATCGTTAAATAGAGCTATTTCTGTGAGTGCAGACAAACCAGATAATCACCATAGGCCACAAAAGTCTATATTTCAGATATAAAATTTGGAAGGACCTGTACCTACTAATACTAGTCACAAAAGTCTACATTTCAGACGTAAAATTGGGAAGGACCTGTTCCTACTAATACAGGCCACAAAAGCCTACATTTCAGACATAAAATTGGGAAGGACCTGTACCTACTAATACAGGTCACAAAAGTCTACATTTCAGACATAAAATCACATTTCAGACATAAAATCAGCAAGGACCTGTACCTACTAACACTGGTCACAAAAGTCTACATTTCAGACATAAAATTGGGAAGGACCTGTTCCTACTAACACTGGTCACAAAAGCCTACATTTCAGACATAAAATTGGGAAGGACCTGTACCTACTAATACAGGCCACAAAAGTCTACATTTCAGACGTAAAATCATGGAAGGACCTATACCAACTAATACTAGTCACAAAAGTCTACATTTCAGATATAAAATTTGGAAGGACCTATACCAACTAATACAGGCCACAAAAGTTTACATTTCAGACGTAAAATCAGCAAGGACCTGTACCTACTAACACTGGTCACAAAAGCCTAAATTAAGGTTAGTCCGTAGGTAAAATAATATCTGTACAACTCTTACTGGACAAGTGAAACTAAAAATAACAGAAGTGGCCCTGGCCATAGATAAAGGGAAACAAACAAAGAATCTCACATATTAATGCAGGCCTCAAAATGATTAGTCAAGGTTAGCCTGAAAGCAAAATAAAATCTGTACAACTTTGGCCTGCCTAATGATTTTTATAAACAAAAGTAGCCAAGAATACAAATAAAAGGGAGACAACTGCTAAAACTTGGTACTCACCAGGAGATCCATCAGCAGTGAGAAAATCATCTTGAGTTCGTTAGAAGGACCATTCGTGTACTGAAGCTGTCACAAAGTAATGTGGACTATTAATATCACTTCAAAATATGAAATAATACACTGATAACAAATGTAATACTAAAATAATTTGTCTACATTATAAATTCACACTATCTGGTAAGGAGTCACATATTCTACACCCTGTGATTAAAATAAGCTTATCAAACAAACACTTAACAAAGACAGGATAAAAGTCCTATGATGACAGGTTTGCCACTATATAGACTGGTACCTGTTTTACTTAAGAACTCCTTATGATTCATGCCTTAAGTCATTAATTAATCATTTTATCTGCAGTTAATTGACAATTCTTTATCACACAGAAATGTGCACTGGACGTAGGCTGAAAAAACTGAACTAGTTTAAAGACATGACATCTTTTTAAATGGTTTCATATAAAAATGCCACAAAAGAATTTGCTTACGCTCTTAAAGAAATTGTACGCTCATTTCACCATATGAGTAAACATATGATATTTGATTTGTTGAAATTCTATATAGATCTAGCTAAATTGATTTACAGACGTTTGCTTGACCATGATTGAGTGTGACATGGTTGTGTTTTACTAGCCGAACAATGTGAAATATTTGTATATATATCAAATCAACAAGAAATAAGCCAAACAATGGAATAATGACCCCAGCAGAAATTATAAGTAAACAGAGTACAGAAGTGTGTATCTAACCAGAACTTTGAGTGAAATCTATGATCCAGTCAAAGTGACAGAGTGCTAGATTCTACAAAGTACTACATATTCAGGCAGTCTAAGTTTATACTGGTTGGGGATATTTCCATCTAGTCTACCTGTCGAAACTTATCTTAAAACAAGAGGCCCATGGGCCTTAACGTTCATCTGACATAAAATACAAGATTTCAAATTTTGAACTTGAGAAGAAGTTGAAAATGTGTTTTCGAGATGGCGGCCATGTTGAATTTCGGACCAACCCGAAATTAAACTTTGGTCAGGATCATGTCACGATCATTTCAGGTAAGTTTCAGCTCAATGAGACATGTAGAACTTGAGAAGAAGTTGAAAATGTTTACGACGGACGATGTACGACGGACGGTGCCGGACAAAAGGCGATCGCAACAGGTCATCAGACCCTTTGGTCAGATGACCTAAAAATAATCTGATGCTGACAATAGTTTTATTAGTCATCAGAAAAAGTTCTAAAAGGTACAAAATAGCCAAAACATTTCTAACTTGTACAAAATATCTTCTTCAATAAAAGAGTCGTGTGCTATGCTAATGGTGGTATTCTGTTATAAAAAAATATGACCTAATATGCCAATATCTCTAAACCCTTTTATAACTTCCATAATATTTTGTCCCCTAATGTGGTGGGATTAGGGACGTGTATGTGTCTTAAACAAAATTGAAAATAAAGAATTGAGAGAGTTTAAATATTTAGTGACTTAAATATGTCACAAATCTGTCTGAAATCATTTCTGTATTAATCTAGCAGTACAGACTTACCATAAGTTGCTTGAGAACTGTGTCACTGAAGGTTTGGTTACAGAAGCTACAGTAGACGATCATGTCAGACACATGGCTGGACATATTGCTGATTTCCCTAACAGCCTGCACCACCTTCAAATACAGGATAAACACTGAGGAATCACAAATGTACTCTAGTACATGAAGATTTTTCCCCAATTACTGACGAGTCAAAAAGTACTATAAATACATTACCAAGTGTATCTATACATGTTTTGCAAAGACCATCATACTGTCATATATATATATATATATATATATATATATATATATATATATCATTCCATCTAGTCTTGACATTATAGCAACTGATATATGATATTAATTCAATGATAATCATACATGCTCCATTAATGTGCTTATTTTACGTGCTAAATCAGTTAAAATGTAAAGGGAAACATTCTGTTGACATAATTATAATGAAATTAACACTCATGAACTTACCTCACGAATATAGCGGACAGACTCAGCTCCGACCACATATTTCTCCATCTCTGGCGACATCTTAAGTAATTTTGATGGATGAACACCTGATTGTGGCTTATAAGGTTGATATTCTCCTATTTCTGAATAAACAGAGAGATTGAATTGTCAGAGGTCATGTTCATAACAAAGATATTGTGTAGACAATTAAAAGGTCACTTAAAACATTACAGTTCAAACAACAGAGGTCACATAAATAATAGGGATCACGAAAACAACAGTGGGGTCACATAAACAAAACAATGAGGTCATATAAACAAAACAATGAGGTCACATAAACAAAACAATGAGATCATATAAACAAAACAATGAGGTCATATAAACATAACAGTGAGATCACATAAACAAAACAATGAGGTCATATAAACATAACAGTGAGATCACATAAACAAAACAATGAGGTCACATAAACAAAACAATGAGGTCATATAAACGTAACAGTGAGATCACATAAACAAAACAATGAGATCATATAAACAAAACAATGAGGTCATATAAACAAAACAATGAGGTCATATAAACATAACAGTGAGATCACCTAAACAAAACAATGAAGTCATATAAACATAACAGTGAGATCACCTAAACAAAACAATGAGGTCACATAAACAAAACAATGAGGTCATATAAACATAACAATGAGGTCACATAAACAAAACAATAAGGTCACATAAACAAAACAATGAGGTCATATAAACATAACAGTGAGATCACATAAACAAAACAATAAGGTCACATAAACAAAACAATGAGGTCATATAAACATAACAATGAGGTCACATAAACAAAACAATGAGGTCATATAAACAAAACAATGAGGTCATATAAACAAAACAATGAGGTCATATAAACATAACAATGAGGTCACATAAACAAAACAATGAGATCATATAAACAAAACAATGAGGTCATATAAACATAACAGTGAGATCACATAAACAAAACAATGAGATCACATAAACAAAACAATGAGGTCACATAAACAAAACAATGAGGTCACATAAACATAACAGTGAGATCACATAAACAAAACAATGAGGTCACGTAAACAAAACAATGAGGTCACATAAACAAAACAATAAGGTCACATAAACAAAACAATGAGGTCACATAAACAAAACAATGAGGTCACATAAACAAAACAATGAGGTCACATAAACAAAACAATGAGGTCACATAAACATAACAGTGAGATCACATAAACAAAACAATGAGGTCACGTAAACAAAACAATGAGGTCACATAAACAAAACAATGAGGTCACGTAAACATAACAGTGAGATCACATAAACAAAACAATGAGGTCATATAAACAAAACAATGAGGTCATATAAACATAACAGTGAGATCACATAAACAAAACAATGAGGTCACGTAAACAAAACAATGAGGTCACATAAACAAAACAATGAGATCACATAAACAAAACAATGAGGTTACATAAATAATAGGGATCATGAAAACAACAGTGGGGTCACATAAACAAGACAATGAGGTCACATAAACAAAATAGTGAGGTCACATGAACAAGTTTTGTATTTACAGTAACTCCACATGGTATAACTTATACATAAAGTTGCTGTATTGAGGTTCAGGCCAATTACCGGTAATGCTGCTATGGAACACTTAACAGTATCAATGATTGTAAAAATGTCACACAAGTGAATACATATATATATATGAACTGCAGAATCAACAGTCTTTTCACTTGAAATTATAAATGGACAATAATCACACTTTTTGTTTTTTTCGCAAACTCTAAACTCTAGAATCTCTTTATACAAATAGTTGTTTATCCTTTATTCTCCTATAAACCCAAGGGGCCAAAGATATTTTTAAAAATTTGGAGGTGAGAGTATTAACTAGTAAATCAACTGAAGGTTAATGAATGTGGGTGAGCTTATTTCCAGAACAATACACTGACCCCAACTGACCCTCAATGGCCCTTACTGACCATCCAGATGTAACTTAGGAAACCAAACTAACCTTCTGTGTGATAGTGGGAGACATCACAGTTCAGGATCAATATTGCTAAGGTTGAATGTAGAAAGCCAAACTCTCTTGATTGTATTGAGCTCCATCGCCGAGTTGACGATTCCTGTAAAACATTAGATTTCTTCATTGTGTTTCAATATAACAAAAGGCCATAGAAATTGTATGATGAGGAAGGAAACATAAAACAATAACTCCATTGTGCTTTGTATAAGTGAAAAGAATTCTTAAACATTCTTCTTTAATAATTAATTTCACATATTTCAAACCTGAAGGCTTTGTTCTTTGATATAACAGCAGGCACGACACAGTTGTGCACTATGTCTCCAGAACTACTCAGGTATAGGTCATGTTTAACAAGTTGAAGAACAAGTAACTACATTTAAAACTAGTACAAGAGATCCCAGAGGGATCTTTGCGTCAACCATTGTTATTTTCCAGATTAGTACCAATATTGAAGAGGCACAACCAGAGATCAAGAGGGATCCTACATATGAAGTTTGAGAAAGATCCATGGAGTACTTCTCAGGAAATAGCTATAATTATCTTTCATTATCAAATCTAAGATGGTCAACTTGCTGCCCTTTTGTTTTTCCTATCAATCCCATTATTGAAGGGAAACAACTAATGACCAAGGGGAACCTACATATAAAAACATTTAATACAGATTCATCCAGTACTTCTCAAGAAATAATGATAACAAATCATCATAGAGAAAATCTAAGATGGCCACCAGTTGTCCATTTCATTTTTGTGATTAGTCCCAAAATCAAATATACACAATGAGGGACCAACGGAAACCTACAGATGGAATTTGAGAAAGATGCATCCATTTTTTACAAGAAATAGCAATGACAAACTTTTGTTGTAAAAATCAAAGATGGCTGCATATTGGCCATTTTGTATAGCCCACCATTATCAGATGATGATAATGATGAGAAGTCTTGCTTTTGCTCAATTGGTTGAGTATAGGACTATTTAACCAGGGGTCCAGGGTTCAAATCCTAGCAGAGGCATAGAAATAAATAATGACCTCTGTAACATACAAATGTTATAAGGACAAAGCAATGAACTAGTGCCTCAGTATGTTTTCATGTGTAGACTTACGTGGTCCTCCAAGTGTTGGTGTGACTGTCCAAGGAGAAATGTGACTAATCGGGGGAAGCCTCGTCTCAGAAACATGTGGGTACATGCCTTTGTGCCCTAGAAACAAAACACACAACATAAATGTCATTAAGTAGTGCTATACATTTTGTACTGTAAGAAGAAATGGATACATTTCTAAAAGTTTTCTTCAGGAGAATGAAACAATACTATCAAAATTACTCCCAACATCTGACAGCCAACTACCTAATCCCCGGGGAGAGTAAAAAAATCGCACAGATAAGATGTAATTCTTAGTCACAAAAAATGGAAACATTTAAGTTAGAAGTTTAAGTAAATATTTTCAGGTTGAACTGAAATCTTTTTTTCTCATTTATTTTTAGCAAGTATTGGAAAGCAAAAATCCTTTATTATAGAGTTTTGTAGCTATCGCACATACAAGGGTATCTGCAATTCAATTATCATTGTCAAAATATTCAAGACAAGGCAAGTTCGTTTTTGGCATGAAAATGACCATTTCTGACCAAAGAGTACTACCTGTCTGAACTTCAATCCTGTTTTCAACATGCACATGTACAAAAAATGCTGTGAATAAGAAAGTGTTTATAGGTATTAAGAATCACCTGTAACCTTTCTTTTATTATACTTACCAACTGAACATAGTGAAACAAAACCTGGAAATACTGGGTGCAATTTTTACAGTGATCTATCACATCCTTATTCAGCATCTGAAGCAAGCGCTCGAGGATTTCATCAAAGTCCTTTTGTGTCTGAAAAAGAAAGCAAAATACAATTTTTGTACATCAGTTACATAAGTGTCAAAAACTGTTTAATTACTACAGAAATTTGTATTAATGTAAATCTGTGACATTACATAATCTATACCCTTATTGAAGTGTCTGTAGAACAAATTCATAAGCAATACAGTATGATTTACAATAAATATAGAATCATTTTTTTTCTGAAAACAAGTTAACTGTAGTTTTAACTCACTATTTTCATTCTACAATCGTAACTTGAATTTCACATTTTTTTTTTTTTTTTTAATCAGATTTGGTTTCAAGATATAGTGTCCACTAGACAATATATGGCTTACTTTAATATAGTCATTAGTTAAGCTGTATTGCGTAATCTTTATATATAAGATTAATACCAGCTAAAAAATGTTGTATTAAAGATCAGTATGCGTTGCGGTGATATATTCTTGATTAGTTTAAAACCTGGATAGAAAAATCTCCCACCAGGAAACAAACACTGATAAATATCACTGCACCCTCTATACAAGAGATGTTGAGGGTCTGTATCACTCACAAAACAATTACAACAATCACTATGAAAAATCACCATTTATAATTCCAGTTCACAAATTTCCCATTTTGACTCTAAAAACAATTTTATTGAAAATTTAACTCAACTTTAAAACCACAGTTCCATCATTTGGCCTTTCTACAATAACCCAATGTCAGGATGACATAATCATTCTGTTTAGTAAAATTGCTCCATCTTCTTCAATTAGGGTAGTTTTGTATATAACAATCTCTCAATGTTTTCCTCATCTTTTCAGAGGAAAAGGGATTTCCATCCATTACCCCTATTAGGCCCAATGTCTTCTAACCATTTTCAAAGTCTATTTCTATTTCTTTTTTGGAGAGACAAACAACCGACAGATGATAAACAAAGCCATACTAAGACATAATTTTATTAATTGTATGGACCAAGACAGCTAAAAAGGTATTTCTCCACAAGTATTTTCATTGTGATATAAGATCACATTGTTGTTTGCATTTTTAAAATGGAATGAAATTAATTCATAGAAAATTGATCTGATAAAAAATGTTTTCACCAATTTTCATATATAGGTTTTACTGGTGAATATTTTCTCTGCAGATAATGTGATAATATCAGGACTTAAAATAAGATATAGAATAAAACATTAAAAAAAAACCCCAATAACCCTCCCCCGCCAAAAAAAAAAAAAACCCAAAAAAACAACACCAACAGTGACCAGTAGTAAAGGATGAACTTTGTTTTTGATGCATGTCAAAGGTCACAATGTAGGTCAGAGTGATCTACTTTGATACATAACACACTGCCTCAACCCTCATACCCTAAGTATGAAGTTGCACTGACTAGTAGTGGAGAGGATAAAGTCCAGGCAAACTTTTTCTTTGATGTAAGTCAAAGGTCAAAATGTAGGTCAGAGTGACCTACTTTTGATACACAACACTGCCTCACCTGGATGAACAAATACTCCATGTATGAAGTTCCAGTGACAAGTAGTGTACGAGATAGAGTTCAGACAAAATAGCAGAAGGATGGACAAAGGACAGACGGACACAACATAAGGCTACATCCTACCATGAAAGATTACACAAATAAAAAAAGAGGACAAAATGACAAAAAAAACAACTGTTACTTGATAAAGATAAGTGAAACACCAGTCTATAATTTACATGGTGAATTAAATAATGGTTGATATTCTACAAGCATCTTTACGCTTTCAATAATACATGAATGAAAAATTAAAAAATTTTGTTGCATATCAGTATGTATAAGGCTACATCCTACCATGAAAGATTACACAAATAAAAAAAGAGGACAAAATGACAAAAAAAACAACTGTTACTTGATAAAGATCTTAGATAAATAAACATTTTATAATTTACATGATGAATTAAATAATGGCCTTTCCCAACATTGTACACACATAAATAAACATTTTCAATAATACATGAAGATGACAGTTAGGATTCAAAGAATAAACATTTTCATCAAAGCATGGGGAGGATTAATTACAAGATATTATTGCCTTTCCCAACATTGTATCTTAGATAAATAAACATTTTCATCAAAGCATGGGGAGGATTAATTACAAGATTATGCTTTTTGTTTAAAAAAAAAAAAAGAAAAAAAAACTCATTTTTATTTGGTTGTTTAATAATTCATATTGAGGTTTTTTTTAAATTAAGAATAGAAGAATTTTTCTGTGACATGGACTTTTTTTTTGTATTTTAAATACTAAAGTTACATCATAGATCTTTGCCTGTGGTAATTTCCAGGGTTTCATAATTTCATAAGAAATTTACTGTTCTAATTTAAAAAAACCAAAATTACAGCCTCATAGATTTTATTTTATTTTTTTTAATATCTAGTAAACAATTCTATTACAACAGCCAATAAACAAACACACATCAAATTACTTATATCGAAAACTATATCCTCCAATCTTCTACATACCATTCTCCTTTGTGATGGAGACAAACCCTGTGAAATATATACATTGCTTTCTTTCAAATTTAAATCTGTTTAAAATAGATAAGATCTTGAATCATCAAAACATCATTTTTCGACCTATAATTCTGAACTCCTTTTGTTTACAATACCCTAGAACATTAAAACTCCTTTTGTTTACAATACCCTAGAACATTAAAACTCCTTTTGTTTACAATACCCTAGAACATTAAGTTTTTTTTCACTAAATTGAAAATAACATTTTTTTTTTTGAAGATTGATTGCAGATAAATCATTCAATTTTAAGTGATCCCCATTCACAAAAACTAATTATGAAGTCCAGTCGAACGCATACTGGAATTATCAATCAAATGTTTTTCAGTAAGATATGATAACTTCCCTGCCTGATCCATGATGCCAGTGATATCATGTTGCTCTAGATTATCCCTCTTCTAAAATGCCTATGTGTTTCAAGGAACAAATCCTAGCCTAAGTCTTACGCCTTTGAAGGACTAGGTTCACCTTGTTTATAACACACAAAATATACAATTCCATGGACAAAAATTTTACAATAAACATACAAATTGTTAAAGTGTGTTTACTTTATGACTGTTATTGTGTAATTTTAATTGGGTGATGCTTGAGACACTGAATGCATGAAAACATACTCAGAAAATAATAAATGTAGATTATACCAGGTTGTTAAGATTCCTCATTTACAGTGTGTAAAACAAATGAACACAAATCAGGCACATAAACAACCATACAAACATGCCAAGCAACATTGAAACTCAAGGAATTAATAAACAGACACTCATAGAGGTATACATATATTGTTATATACCTGAATTCCACCATGCTTGAAGTAGCTGGACATCAGAGCATTGAGGATTCGTGCAAAGGTATACCGCACTTCTCTATTAGGACATTCCAGTAAAAATGGCCTACAAAAGTAAAATTCAAATTACTATACTGACAATTTTTTTTATCTTAATAATGAAAAACACAAACAGAAGGTTCAGAAGTACAAAGTACTGGTCTTTTAAATTGACAAAAAAAATTTATGCTGAAAACTAAAAGTTCTAAATGCTGAAAATATCAAGTGTCAAGGCAGGCAAAGATGGAGACACTGTAAAAAGAAACTTTAACAGGTAAATTAAAACTAAGAGGATTTTGCAAAGACCTTTTCTTATGATATAGATATAAAACGTCAGTGTAATAGTTTTACTTGGCACAAAGACCTTTTCTTATGATATAGATATAAAATGTCGGTGTAATAGTTTTACTTGGCACAAAGACCTTTTCTTATGATATAGATATAAAACGTCGGTGTAATAGTTTTACTTGGCACAAAGACCTTTTCTTATGATATAGATATAAAACGTCGGTGTAATAGTTTTACTTGGCACAAAGACCTTTTCTTATGATATAGATATAAAACGTCGGTGTAATAGTTTTACTTGGCACAAAGACCTTTTCTTATGATATAGATATAAAACGTCGGTGTAATAGTTTTACTTGGCACAAAGACCTTTTCTTATGATATAGATATAAAACGTCGGTGTAATAGTTTTACTTGGCACAAAGACCTTTTCTTATGATATAGATATAAAACGTCGGTGTAATAGTTTTACTTGGCACAAAGACCTTTTCTTATGATATAGATATAAAACGTCGGTGTAATAGTTTTACTTGGCACAAAGACCTTTTCTTACGATATAGATATAAAACGTCGGTGTAATAGTTTTACTTGGCACAAAGACCTTTTCTTACGATATAGATATAAAACGTCGGTGTAATAGTTTTACTTGGCACAAAGACCTTTTCTTACGATATAGATATAAAACGTCGGTGTAATAGTTTTACTTGGCACAAAGACCTTTTCTTATGATATAGATATAAAACGTCGGTGTAAGAGTTTTACTTGGCACAAAGACCTTTTCTTATGATATAGATATAAAACGTCGGTGTAATAGTTTTACTTGGCACAAAGACCTTTTCTTATGATATAGATATAAAACGTCGGTGTAATAGTTTTACTTGGCACAAAGACCTTTTCTTATGATATAGATATAAAACGTCGGTGTAATAGTTTTACTTGGCACAAAGACCTTTTCTTATGATATAGATATAAAACGTCGGTGTAATAGTTTTACTTGGCACAAAGACCTTTTCTTATGATATAGATATAAAACGTCGGTGTAATAGTTTTACTTGGCACAAAGACCTTTTCTTATGATATAGATATAAAACGTCGGTGTAATAGTTTTACTTGGCACAAAGACCTTTTCTTATGATATAGATATAAAACGTCGGTGTAATAGTTTTACTTGGCACAAAGACCTTTTCTTATGATATAGATATAAAACGTCGGTGTAATAGTTTTACTTGGCACAAAGAAACCTACATACAATTACATTTCACAAGTTCACCATATAGGTTTTCCTGTAGAAATGGAAAATACTTACATAGCTTAATACCAAGTTTCAGACAGACACTGGCTGTTCAAATAGTAAAATCTTATATAAACTAGCTGTCAGCTGGACTTGGTTGTGGTGCTACATACTTCTAAGTTAAGTCAGGATGCATGTGTTCCCAGGGCAAGGCTTATTACAGTTTATTGAAACAGTATTTGTTGGTAAATTTTCTGATTAGCAATTGATAATTGATGAGCTTATTACTAGGCATGAACTTATTACTAAATAAAAATGATAAAATACTAACTTTATATAGGAAGATCCTTCCACCCCAGACATGTACTCCACCAACCAAAGACAGGCTTCCTTACAAGCCTGAAGTTCATACTCTATGGAGTCTGCCCAGTCACTCAGATCCGTTCTGTAAGTAAATTGTTAACTGTCAAATTTGCTTTTGTTTTCGTCTAATATATCTTTTGTATAGACAAACCAGAAACTTATAAATCTAGGCATTGATACATTTAGTTGATACAACTGACAAAATTAAATATTTTCTGTTCAAAAATAGGTGAAAAATTAATATAAATCAAAGTTTGAGAAAATTTTTTAAAACAGAAAAAAAATTATGTGAACAGAAATGGAAGGTTTCATTTTTCTCAGATAAACTTATAAGCATATCTTATCAATCACTGAATAATCATATATAATTAAGACTTAGGAAAGTAAACTGTATTCAGTTAAATATTGTTAAGGTAACAATAACTAGATACAACAGACAGTACACTGACTTTGTTCTCTTTTTTGTCCTGAAGAATGTGTTAAATAGGTATTTCATTCCCAGCTGGAGAGCTTGCACAGAAATCGCCGTGAAATCCTTTCTACCTTTACTTCTCTGTAAAACAGAATCACAATTCTAATCGCAAATCGAGACAAAATCTACATATGTTTATCAAATAATAAGTCAAAAATTAATCACTGACATATTCTGTATATTGTAAGTTTTATCAAAGTTGGAGACTTTGAAAAATCTTTCCTTAATTTGAAGATTTTGTCTATAACAAAAACAATCTTACACTTTTACAAGTAGAATTCAAGACCTATGATTGTCATGGTTGAAGTGTTGAGGACACTGTTCTCATGATATTTTTCACATCATTTCTGTATGACTGTATGAACATGACACAGGTTTAAACAAAAATTGTCTTTTCTCTTGAACCTTGTTCCCAAATATTCCTTTAATCACTTAAAATACACAGAGTCTCTTACCGAGTAAAGATCTACAAGGTTTTTGACAAATCTGAAGTACTCGACATTGTAAACGTCTCTGTTTTTGACGAATGTGAGGTTTTCACCCTGAATAACTTGGTGTATACTGGCAGGCATCTGTTCTGTGAAGATTCCTCGTCGCTCCCCCTTGTGGACAAGTTCAGTTAGTTCCATTAGACTGTCAGAATCCAGCCTTCCTTTCCTAAAAATCAGAATACAAAATCAGAGTTATGAAAATGAATAAAGTAATTTCTACCCTGTCTAGAGCATGTGTTACAACACCATATAGTTATGATAATAGACAGTGTATCTCCTGTTCTATGCTTCCAAACAATGACCTTCTTCATAGGAATTGCTCAAACTCTCACTGCGCATCTGAATGTATGAGAGAAACACAGATATTGTAATTACCAAGACTATCAAAGGCCCTAAATAGTCGAGCTCAAGCATACAACACACAGAGAAATATCTCCACAGGCCCATTCATGAATTTTGTCAACAAGGTGAAAATAAAAGTCGGGCTTAAGTTTGATTTTGAAACCGATACATATATTTCTACATATTAATGTCAAACATAAAACTGGAGAAATATCCAGTCTTATGCAAGGATAAGAGAAACCCAGATCAAACACTGTCCAAAAATATAGTATATCATATCATAACAGAGCTTATTTTTGCAGAACAATGGCAATTTCAATCAAATTAATGCACAAGTTGTTCTATTTTTTGCAATAACAGCAAAAATTTTAACTCTAATAAAAATTCTTTCATCCCATGCTTGAACACTGTATTTTGCTACTTAGCTTTGAAAGTTCAAAGATCTTAACATAGAGTCTGGGTAAAAATGATTTCTATTTGCAGATGGCTACACACAAAATGTGAAAACAACACATTGTTCATCTACGATGAAATTCAAGGTTTTTGATATAATCTTACCCTAAATCTGGAACCACTCGCTTGATTATCTTGGTTTTCTTGGCAGAACTAGGATTTTTGGGTTCTTGTACTTTCTCATAAAACAGCATGTATCCATTCCAATACCGCACTCTGTCATCTGGGTAACTTGAAGCTGAAATTCATACATTTTCCAAAGAAATTCTTTCCTAATTTGTTAACTTCCCACCAACAGAATTATACAATGTACAACTTCAGATGTATTTTTTGAGAATTCCATTTTAAATCTTACATTGTGTTACAGGAATATGGTTTGCAAGGGAGTGTTAAAATTCTTAATAAAAATTAAATTCCAAATCTGAATTAATAAAAACATCCTTTTGAATATAAATCAAAATTCTATTATCAACTCATTGTATTAAAGGCCATATTACAGACAATATGTTGCAATACAAAACCAGAGGATCTTACAGGATTCATAGACTTTAGCTTTGTATGTGCCACCGAAACATTCCGCCTCCAACGTCTCGTCTGTCATCTCACACTCCTCGACGATTGTGTCATTAAATTTGTACCATTTGCCCTTATTTGGATTATCCATCACAGTCCCCCTGTCAGAAATAATTATTGGTCATTACAAGAGAATTTACAAATTTTGAGGTGGATATGGGATGTGAGAGAGATATTAACACAGATATAGTTTAGGTTAATATAATTTTTCAGACCTGTAATGACCTGTTATATTGTATAACCATATATTCAACAACAACAATAAAAAGATAAAATCTGAACTGTTAAATTAGGTATATAATAATTCAAATTCAATATCAAAACAAGTCAGAATTAAAAAGAAAAGTTGGTTGAATATTTTCTGAGTACTGGCATGTTATATGAATTATTTCAATTTTCATTTTAAACTGAGACGATCATTTCAAATTTGATTAAGTTTAACTAGTAATGGTAAAATCTACATAATAATTTCAGGCAAAGTTCAATCTTGGTATAAACTCTCTCTGTATAAGGACAAGATACATCAGAACTTATCAGAATTGACACACAATGACCATAGTCATACCTTCGGTCCTTGATAAACGAGTAGTAGTGTCCAGCGTTGGCCTGCCCACTGTGAACCACAACTCCAACCAACTCATAATTTATCTGCTTTGACTCCACCTGTGAGCTCTCAACTACTTCTGACATTCGATCGTCTAAAGATGAAATTGTCTCCCCTGATTCTGACTCGGAACTGCTTTCTGCATTTTCTGTAATTTCTTCTCGTCTTGCCATTCCCTCTGTTGTATATGGTTCCATATCTAACACCCAAGGAAACTGTAGACAAGATGTAAAGAAGGTTACACAAAAATTTAAACAACATTTTACTTCGTTATCATATCAACTGTCCAACAAAAAATGTAAACAAAATATCAAGCAACAGATAGATTACAAAAATTTCAATGGTATCTAAATAGTCTTATTGTGAAGAAATGATGATTCACAACAACACTGAAACCTGACCATTACTGTAGTTCTTGATTTACATCCAAAATACCTTGTATCTTCACGTTTCCAAATCTCTGTCTCCCTTCACACCTTCATACACAGGTATACTCAATTTATTCTAGTATGAATGACAAATTAATTTATGAGATTGAGAGAGTATCCAAAAACAATACTCCACTGACCAATTGTCTAGATAGCAGTTATCATAAGATGCTGTTCAATTTTCTGAAGATAATAATTTTTTTCTCTAAGTAGCAATACAGATCACTTTGTCAAAATAGGACTCACCTTGAAATAATCATCAAACTTAAGAGCTCGGTTGGCTTCCCAGTCATAACCAAATCTCTTAAGTTGGATACACAACAGTGGCGGTAACGTCTTTATACACATCCTCTTAATAGTGTTTCTCTGCAAGTTAATTATCAAAACATCTCTTCATAATGGGGTTGTCATTTTTAATTTCATTTTTTTTCAAAATCTTGCAATCAATGTTCTGTTTAAAGAAGCTAAGAAAAATGAAATACAGAATATTCTTGGTTACATGTTAAGCACTAGTGAAAAATGTTAACTTCATGTAAAACAACTTTAACTAAGATACTGGATTTGTTTATACAACAAAAAAAATGTACATAAATAAATGACAATGGTTAAGAATAAGTCACCTTTTCCCCACACTTCTCACAAAAGTAAGCGTTGTCCCCTTCCAGTAACTCTCCATGAACAAACTGATCTAGGGAATCTTGCAATGTAGCGTTCTTTACAGTCAAATTTAATGCGAAGAATGACTCCTCTCTCTCATACCTGGAAATAACAGATCAGTGTGTTATACATCAACAACTGAACATAAGACTAAACTGAACTGAATGAATCGCCACAACAAAATATCTTGAATATTTAGAACAACTGTACAACAACAAATTTTCATCCCATTAATTTTTTATTTCCGTTTTCAGAGAGTGATAAAATCGCATTGAAAACCACAAGTGTATCATAACACAACAGTGTTTATAGTGGAATCATACTTGGTTTAAAGCAATAACATTTTATAATCTTAAGGATTTCATTTAATAAGGTCCTTTCAAGTATGCAAATGAATGATTCAGGTGGCACAGAAATATTCTCTTATATACACAACTATAATGACAAGATTATACACAACTATAATGACAAGATTATACACAACTATAATGACAAGATTATACACAACTATAATGACAAGATTATACACAACTATAATGACAAGATTATACACAACTATAATGACAAGATTATACACAACTATAATGACAAGATTATACACAACTATAATGACAAGATATGCTGGTAAACTTCAATGGAAGTGCTTTAAATACATATATACCTCTTGAATTTTCAGTAATTTAAAACAGCGATAAGGAAAGAATTCTCAATGATTCTATCTTTTGTTAATTGATTTTTACAATATGACCTATAACCGTAATCTTAGAGATGAACTTTCTTTGAAGTGTAATTATCCATGTCTATATTTTGCCAGGTATCAGAGGATTCCTTTATTTTTACATCCAAAACACTCAACAGGTCAGTGGGACTTCTAACTACCAATCTGATCTCATCATCAAAGTAGACAATTGTTTTATCTCGTAACAAAGCATTGGGGTGATGTGACCAACGATAACTTACCTATGTGGACAATCTTTACAGATTTTCTGGTCAGAAAAAATGCCTTCAAATTTGGATTTAAAAAGTTCTTCCTTTCCACTTTTCTGAAATCAGAATATGTAGTTTCATATTAATACAAAAAGTTTGGCAAGCATTTCAAAGTGCAAACTCCAGGTATATAATTGAACCTAATTCATGTTTCCTCGTCTTCAAAACATTCTGACATGTGACCAAGACAAGCATGAAGAGTTCACGGAAGTAACAATTTTTGACAAAACATTGCACCTCCTGGTAACTTTCCAAAATCTCTTAATAACAACGCCACCTGATTAAACAACTTTGTGGTTTCTATTTACTTCATTAAATTGTTGATTATTTGCTTCAAATACATGATAATTATTAATCCACAATTGTTCTATATAATAAAGATTCCTTTGTCCTATCATGGCCATTTCAACCTTTGGGTTAATAAACATTCAGTCTTCAGGTTTACAAATCTGCATATCTTCCTCAGATCAGGGTATTACATGTATATACATAAGTACCACCATACTCTCTTCTACATTGTTTTAATCTTGACAAAGTGACTACAACTTCATTTTGAAAAGATCACCGCAAATCATTACACATTACCTTCATATGTTCGTCAACCTGGTCGATCAAAGCCTGGAAAAAGTCAAATGCATCCTGTTGCTCTCGGATATTTATAGACTGTCCCCAAAGCTGGAACACCTTCCAGAATTTCTCTGGCTCATGGTACTGGAGCTTACTCTCCATCAGGTGACCAAACACTTGCTGGATCTGATAAAACACACTGTCCAACAGAAATATTCACACATCATTCAATATATATTTTCAAAGAAGGAATACAGATATAGAGTTGTGTTTTGGTACTATTATCTAGTTAATATATAGGTAAAGTTCAGATTTGATTTTCTCTAGCATTTTGACCATTGACTTTTTTTTAAAAATTTAATATAAGTAGTAAGACAAACATTGGATAGCCTTTCCAAACTCCAGTCAGAATTAGAAAAATAAAATCTTTATCATTAATTCTATGTTAATGCATTCCATCAAAGTCGGAAATTCTTTATCTAACCAAAAAGTAAAATTTGAGGCAATTCAAACATTTAATGATGTTAGTTTCAGAGATTCAGGTGCAAAAGGATAAATTTAATACCAACAATAGTTTAGCAGATATGAAGATGAAATTTAAGCTGGTGACTTTTATGCAATGATTTTATTAACATTGTTATCTTCACAAACCTTTCTTCATCTATCTGGTCATCATCAACACCCAGCACACTCTCTGGAATGCCAGGTGCCATGTACAGCTGTTGTATCACAGAATTCATGTAGCAGGTTGCTCCACCATTCTTCAGGCCCACAAAACCACATCGGGCTCGTCCATCAACAGGGGGTAGGTACTATGATGTATATCATTACAATCTTATTACATCACTAAACATTGATTACAAACATCTAATTATGTAGCTATATATACCTCATTTGAATAACTCATTTGAGGGGAAAAAATCAATGTGAATCAATAAAATTTTTTTACAATTACATCAGAAATAGAGAGAATTTTACAAAGAATGACGAGTTTTTGAGAATGTGCATAATGATGCAACCAAAGGCAGCTACAATAGCTTAGAAAACAGGCGTAAAATTGACTGAGAACCTAAGATGACAGCCATAGGTCTGAAAAGGACCAATCCGTCAATAAGCCCAGTCACACAGTTTCAGTAGATAAACATTTTACTGTCATTGATTGTAATAAGCCCAGTCACACAGTTTCAGTAGATAAACATTATAATGTCATTGACTGTAATAAGCCCAGCCACACAGTTTCAGTAGATAAACATTATAATGTCATTGACTGTAATAAGCCTAGCCACACAGTTTCAGTAGACAAACATTATAATGTCATTGACTGTAATAAGCCCAGTCACAGTTTCGGTAGATATACATTATTATGTCATTGACTGTAATTAGCCCAGTCACACAGTTTCAGTAGATATACAATATCATGTCATTGACCTGTAATAAGCCCAGCCACAGTTTCAGTAGATAAACAATATAATGTCATTGATTGTAATAAGCTCAGTCACAGTTTCGGTAGATATACATTATTATGTCATTGACCTGTAATAAGCCCAGCCACAGTTTCAGTAGATATACATTATAATGTCATTGACTGTAATAAGCCTAGCCACACAGTTTCAGTAGATAAACATTATAATGTCATTGACTGTAATAAGCTCAGTCACAGTTTCGGTAGATATACATTATTATGTCATTGACCTGTAATAAGCCCAGCCACGCAGTTTCAGTAGATAAACATTATAATGTCATTGACTGTAATAAGCCTAGCCACACAGTTTCAGTAGATAAACATTATAATGTCATTGACTGTAATAAGCTCAGTCACAGTTTCGGTAGATATACATTATTATGTCATTGACCTGTAATAAGCCCAGTCACAGTTTCAGTAGATATACATTATAATGTCATTGACTGTAATAAGCCCAGTCACAGTTTCAGTAGATATACATTATGTCATTGATTGTAATAAGCCCTGCCACACAGTTTCAGTAGATAAACATTATTATGTCATTGACTGTAATAAGCCCAGTCACAGTTTTGGTAGATATACATTATAATGTCATTGACTGTAATAAGCCCAGTCACAGTTTCAGTAGATAAACATTATTATGTCATTGACTGTAATAAGCCCAGTCACAGTTTTGGTAGATATACATTATAATGTCATTGACTGTAATAAGCCCAGTCACAGTTTCAGTAGATATACATTATTATGTCATTGACTGTAATAAGCCCAGCCCTAAACTTTTAATCAGAATTCAAATGTTGGCTCCCAAAGCTTATTGCATCTTAGATATTGGGGGAAGTGAAATGTGCCTATGTCTTTTTGTGTGGCTATTGATAATATCCATCCTACCTCCCACTCATTGGCACAATCAGGTTGAGGTAGGTGATGCATTTGAATGAGTTGCTTGCAAATGTCTGTAAGGATAGGCAAGCTGTTTGTGGCTAACTCCACCAGCAGTTGATAAGCGGCAACTCGGGATTCGGAGTTACTGCACCTACACAAAACAAACATACAGGTTAGTCCAATTCTATTCTATTTAGGATTTATAATTTGCAATCCTATTAACATATTATTCTGATTATTTCACACATTGACACATTGGTCTAAACATCAACCTACTTTGGATTGGCTTCTGTGAGGTCACCCTTGAGATTGGAGTCGTCCATACTGTCCATCATGACTTTTGAGGCCGGAAACAGGAAATCATTGAGAAGGTCATACACTAGTCCTCTCCCTGGTAACAATAAAAAAAGTATTATCTCCCCTGCTTCATTTCACTGGATTTTTTCCTCTATAAATTCAAATATTCTTTCATTAAACTTGAACCAAACTTTTAAAAAGAAAGAAGTTGTTTTTGACTGCAAGTCATAATATTCTTGTAAGTTACAATTTTGCTTTAGAAAAAGAATATTATCAACCGTGAATTTATTTTGTACTAACATTTAAAAAAAACATTTTCATATATCTATATTAATTGTATAGCATTGTAATATCATACCAAACTCCTCTTTGTCGACACCATCACATGTAAACAGGGTCTTGATGAGTTTTAAATGACCTGCCAGTAAACTGTTGTCTGTATCGGACAGATCTAGGTTTGTAGATGGTACAAAGTTTCCTAACCAATTGATCTCATCCTCCAACATAGTAGGCACATCTAATGATAACTTCTTTTGATCTTCAACTGCAACCAAAATCCCTCACTATTACACAAACATACTGACACATTTGAAATTTGTACGGCATGGAAAATCAACACCAAAATATCCACCCAGAAAGTTTAATATGTTTTAAACTGTTGGTGTCATGAAAAAAAAAGTTTCAAGAGAGAGACTGAGAATATTTCCATTCACAAGATATCCATTTTGACAGCAGATATGACCATAGTGTTAATTATTTTAAATGGCATTAATAAACAATATCTTTTTTTAGATTCATGCTGATAGGTGTGTATTCATTATTCTAGATCTGTAGATACATACCACTCAAGTTTTCCAACAATCTACATCGCAGATCAAAATATTGTGAACACTGCATTAATAACCTGGAATGACATCAGAACACATAAACATTTCTATATTAATCATTTATCATTATAAATATACCAATAGATATATACCAATGGATACTATCAAAAGGACATTCCTGAACAGGTTTCAGTGTACATGTTTAGTTGTGAAGCTTGCCATTTTCTATGAGTTTTATTTCATGACTTTTTTGGAGGATGGAAACTCTAAAGAAATTTTCAGAAATATTCACTTTCACAAGAGGCAAAATCCAATCATTCCTACAGGAGGCACAGGATTTTAAAGAATTTGCTCAATTTCCCCTATTGGGCAATGCCTTCAGACCTTGTGAGCTAACAAGAGGCCCAATGGGCCTGCAGTACTCACCTGGTATTCAATGTTCATTAAAATAGAATCAGAGTTAATATCACAAATATATTGACTAAAAACCATTGGCAATTTTAACCAATACCCACAACAAAGAGCTTCTAATACTTAAATCTTAACATTGATAGTTAAGATCTAGATTTTAAGTAAATGCCATTTCCTTTCTTCACAAAATCTTTTGGGCTTTGACCTAGAAACAACTATCATGCTTCCTGGACTTTCAGTTTACAAGAAGAAATCTTTTACAGTTTTCAAATAGTTTTTCCACTGTGAACTTCAATATAGGTCAAGGTCATTTCATTCCAACACCCATCAGACAAATACCATGACTTTTGGTCTGCTGGTAATTGAGAAGAAGTTGTTTAAATGGAAAAGTTGATGCCAGACAGAAAAAAGGACAATGTGCCATGGCATGAAAATAAAATCAATAAACAGAATAACAGTTACTTCCATTAATGTTGTCAGAAATATGTCTACTGCACATTTCCATTTTACAATAAATATCTTCAAAAAACATATGTACTAAGTAGATAATAGCTGAATGTCATACTGCTGAACAATTAAAGGCACTTTCGCTTAAGCACTTGAAAGGGTTGGACCGGTTGAGCCCGCAAGCAAAATGCAAGGTACAGTTGGGGACCGAGGCTGGACTGCGAAATATTTGGTACATGCAGATTGAGAGGTCCAGCCGTACCTGTCCAAAACTAATCTTAATTTTAGTTAATTGATTTATGCTTGACAGGAAATACCGAGACTGTACATTCTGAGCTTTACATATATCAGGTCCAACATCCAGTACAAGTGCGTTCACGTATTATGGAATAATTCCAGACCACCTGAACTGTTGCAACTGGGTTACGTGAATGCCACCTAAATAGAGATACAGTCACATGTCTTACCTTTGACTAGCACCCCTAGTACTAGCAGAAGATACCCAGAAGGGGAGATAAGCCTTCAGAAGCACTTTCAAAATGAACTGGTGTGGTGTTTGGTGTCCAACAGAGTTGACTGTGCTGCTCTCAGTTAGAGATAATTGAGTCTGACTGAGAAGATAAAACTGGTCGAGAGCTGCATTCCTAATGTCAGATTGAGAACAGCCTACTAAGATGTCTATAATGAAGTCACTCACACATGGCAGCGAGTAGAATGAGGCTGAAAATAAAACAAAAAAACATGTTCACAAAAAACATAGTAAAACAGGAAGCAATTGTTTGTGTTGAACATGCTGCGTACCAACTTTATTATCAAGTATACTGTAAATTCCTGCATTTTCATGGGGCTCGAATTTCATTGTTTCCAGAAATATATTTTTTTGTTGGCTCTTGATTTTGAGGATAAATCTTGCTCACAAAATCCACTAGCACTTTACTCCATGTCAACATTTCTTTGTTTATAATCTTGTGCACATAAATATTCATGGTTATCGAGTACTCACAAATTACATGAAAATAAATCCCCCCATAGAAATTAATGAATTTTACTTATGCAGTAATACTATAGTAAATCAGAACCATGACCATTTTTATCATACAAATTGCTAATATCTGGTGAAATGACTACCCCTATCTATTGCTGTACACCAGAATCACCAACACATCGTAGTTTACCTTGTAACCACACATACCCACACTTATTACAGGAACTCATTTCAGGATAAAAAATTATTTTCAGTGCAGTACATACTATTATGTATAACACTGTGATTTAAATAAAAGTTAGAATCAAGTGATATTTAATATACAGCCAATAGCTTTACAAATTAATGAAGTTTTGCATAGAGTAATTTAGAAACTAAAATATCATCAAAATACTTTGATCAATTATTGCTTCAGTCATCTCACTCACTGATGAATGAACATGGTGCTTACCTAGTAACTCGCTACGTAGTTGAAGACAAGCCACGAGAATTTCTAATGCTTCTTTAGCTATATTGCAGTCTTTAGAAGAGATGAATGTTTGCCTTATACACACACCAGCATGTAGTGTCTGGCAGTCACTGTCACTGTTAGTACTGGCTGTGCTGCCTGTTAAATCAAAATGGATGAAACATTTGTAGCATGTCACTATAAACTTTATTATTACATCACTATTTATTTTGAAAATCTGTTCAGGGTCTTGGTACCTTAAGGGCTATTCCTTCTTGACTCAAGAACTCTGCAGGGTGGGATATTTGTTTTACTTGGTCCTTATTACTTTTTACAGTACAGTATTACCTAATAGATCATTATTTTGGATATTTTGATAAATAATTCTATAACAAATCTCTATATAGTAGAATTCTCACCAGTGCTACTCTGTCGACTACGACAGCCACACCCATACATGTTGGAGCTTTCTATGATTGGCTGAGGAGAACTCAGGAGATGTAGCCGACCAGCAGCCGCAGCCCATGTCACCCTCATAAAACAAGAAACTGTTTCTGTAAAGACGTGCACACCCATTGTCTGTAAAAACAAAATATAAATCCTTTGTTTTTTCTATAATGCTGAACAAACCTGATGTCTTCTGCTGTAAATCATTAATCACATTTTTACCTAGAAAGCCCCAGGATGACGTACACCAATTGGAATAGAAAATTGAAAAAATTTGAGATGAAAATTTCACAAAAAATGGAAAACTTGAACTGAAATGAAAAGATGAAATACACTCACAAAACAAGATTTACATATATGTCTTGCCTGTTTGCTTTGCTTGTATACAACATTTTAAACAAACTAGCAAACTGAGTTAACGCTAAAACTTAAAAGTCTGGCTTTTCAACAATGTTTGTTTTCAGAATTGCTGGACGGTCATTTTTTTCTGAAATTTAATGAATGATAAATGTATTGAGGTGTCCATTACATAATTTAGCTACCTGGTATGTACCATTTTTTGACTAATACTTTTTAAGTAACAGGTCTAAATGCAAAACATTATGAAATGTTGATGCCGCAACACCATAGTCCATAGCTTCAACAGGTAAGACAAAAAAATTCAAATTCAAAATAGTCACTTGGTGACCTGAAATTTGATTAACAGATTCTGCTAATCATTCATCAATCCGACTGGTTTTATTTTTAGAAATGGAAGTCTAAGTATAGAAATAAACTGATATCCATGGTGTACACTATAACACTAGGATCTTACCTGTACTGCATGCCCAGCAGCAGTGACTGCTCTTTCCACATTAATAGTCAGTGGACTGGTCAGGGATGTAGGAGGTGTGGCCGACAGAGTGACCTTAGGTGTATCACCAGCCTCCGAGGGAAGGGCTACCACCCCTTCTGTACTAATGGCCTCACCAGTTACTGTTTGACCACACAGGAGAAATCGGGCCAGCTGTAGGCAGATAGAGTAACAGCCCTGGCGTGTGGTATAATTTAGCTCTGGAGCAAGACTCTCAGGCTGGAGGACATTCACAACCATTTGTAAACCATCACAGTTGAGGAAGTCTTCACAGAATTGCTGAGCACTGAGCCGTGTCCCTATATCACTTGTTGTGGGCATCAGTTTGGAACTCAGTACCTAAATCAGAATGTAAAAGCAATGTCATGAAGATACGTATATAGACTGTACAGAATATGGTAATACTTTATGTAAATGGATAGAACACATCAACGAGAAAGTTGAAGTTGAGAGAGCAATTCTTATTTTATACACATCTAAAATGAGTTTCTTACTTCCAGGTTGTATAGCACCCTGAAGGCTGACATGTCCTGGGCTCCAGAGTCAAACAAAACCTTGAGCACTTCCTTTGGTGGTAGACGAGGACTTGACACAGGGGTGATTGTGGCTGTTGTCTTACGAGGACTGGCGCGTGGACTGATGTCATCACCAGACCCCATCTGTTTGGAGACCTGTAGAATAGGATTGTTAGGACAATAAGCATTACATTGTATTATTATAATACACACTTTTAGGCCACTGTCTGACATTTTTGACTTCTTTATCGCCCATTACATAACAAATTCTATTAAAACCAACATTTCTCCCTTTGATTATTACCAAATTACCAATATATTCTAATTCTTATTTTCGATTTTACCAAAATTATGAAACAAGCCAAACCTTCTTATTGTAATTTCAAGGTACCCTAGAGCAGGCATTATTTTTATTCCTTGCAATTTTAATCTTTCTTGAAACACTCAAAATATTTGTACAGAATACCTATAAAAATTGTTGTATTGAGATACAGGCTGATGGACTCTGACATGTAGTAATGATACTAACCTTGTTACTGATGGAGTCAAGGGACTCCGATATTGCTGGATCGGTTGGGATCAGCATCAGCAGCTTACGCACACGGGACGTGATTCTAATGGTCAGACAAAATCATCAATAAGGTAAGAAATATTTACTTAGATAGTCTTTCATACTTATTCAGAATCATGTTTTAAATTTTGATTTATGATAATATCCTTCACCTGTATGTTAAACACCTACTTTACATACATGACAAGCCTACATAGGAAAGAAACCTAGTGTTCTAAAATGGTCGATTAAAAGACTTCAGGACTTTACACAGCTGACTGTTCAATAAGTAAAAAGTTCACAAGAAGAAAGTCTTTCACAATACCGTGGTTCGTCTAAGTCTGCAAGCTGGTAGAGCATTTCAAACACCTGTCCGCCCATAGCCATTACAACTCCTGGTAACATCTTCTCCTGCAGGAAAAATCAGATTTGCTACATAACACAAATATTTTGTAAATACAGAAGTCATTAAAATTTTTACACAACACTGGAATACATCAATTTCTTTAGAATTTTTAATATAAAACAGATCATAACAGTGACTCGTTGTCTACTTTATATCTCAGGCCCTTACAGGAGTTCATTTCCAGCTTTATTTAGAAAAATGATATTAAATTCAATCCCTATCCCAAGCCACAACTATATTGTAATGTTCAGTAAATGTCTTACCTGTTCTAGATCAAAAGACTGCTTTGAAGTTGGTGTTGCTGGGGGCTGAAAAAGAATGACAAAAAGATTAAAATACACAATCTACAATATACCATTTACAGTATAAAGCAGTTAATTTTTTTCAAGAATCCTCATGATGTACCAATTTATCTTATGATAAAACTATGGATATTTGTACCTATGCATGGTGAAGGTGATGACATTTTCATCTGGGCACTGGATGTACAGAAAACAACAAAATAATTATAACAGGCATGGGGTAATTGCAATTGTGTAATCGTTATTGATTGTAATAAACAAATATACAAATTCTGATGTAATTTGCAGTTGTTAGTAACTGAAGACTTTTTCAGTTACTTGTAATTAATTGATTACAGTGAAAATTTACCATGTAATTGTAATTACATTTCAATTACAAGGTATTTTTTCCTGGTGGTAATTGTGTAATCGTTATTGATTGTAATAAACTACAAATTCTTATGTAATTTACAGTAGTCAGACAATATTTTTCCTACGTGGAAATAGTTTGATGTGATAATAGGTACTTAATTTACTCTCTGATGGTATATTTAGTAAATGAAGAGATGAACAATAACAAAATCTAACAACTTTTTCATCAACATAAATATTAACATAGATATATAGATCATATATCTGTGATACTTCCTCATCTTTTTTTCAGATATCATCCTGTATCGTATAAGTTAATACTATGTTTACATAGAAGTGGAAATCCTTTGCAGATCCGATTCTGTATCAGTGCAGATAACATGGCTGCTAGTGTAGAGTGGATTCTTTTTCGTCAGGAAACAGTAGTTCCCAACACTTTCAGTATATATCTCATTAGTCAAAACTTTATAATTTCTGTGTAGGTTGGAACATTACTGATCTAGACACTGAGATTTAAATCTGGACCTTTTTTATCTGAATCCTGTAATTTTAATGACAGTATAAGAATACAGAATAAGTTTACAGAATAAATACTTTAAACCTGACCAAGTAAATAATGTGTGCAGTGGAACTTGATGTACAAGTAGTGGTTAGTTAAGGCAATACAATTCCTGTACAGGTGAAGCTTATTAGCCCAGACACCATTACATAATACAATTCCTGTACAGGTGAAGCTTATTAGCCCAGACACCATTACATAATTAGGAATGTTATTATTCATTGTAAGGAGTCATACACAGGGTATTTACATTGTGTAAGTTAACATTTCATTGTAATAGGTTGTTAACATTTTCAACTGAATTGTGTTCACATATTTTTATTGTACAACTTCTTAACCAGCTATTTACCTAAAATTGAATTGATTTGCTAGCCTCAACATGTACTGATGGTTCATAGTAAACCATGAATATTTATTCAAAGAAAGCATCATGCAATACAGTGCTGATGAAATAAAATTCACACAGGGTTTCACAAAGAAGATTTCAGACCTCTATTACTGCTGTAAGTTAAAACTTCATAAATAAACTACATAGAGAATTCATCCCTAAATTTATTAAAGTTTTTCAATAAAGATTTCAGCAGAAATAGCTTGCATGCAATTTTCCATTGTGTTATGAGACCAATCTAAAATTTCCTGAAAGTAAATTGCTAAAATTCTTGAACAAATCCATCCGTTTCTAGGGGAATAAAACTGTTTCCATGCTAATGCTGATATCTAATGTTGGCAGAGCTAATATAGGTAACATATAGGTGTATGACAATTTTTTATTCCGATAGCCGGACTAAAATACAATGGTTCTTATTGAGGTAAGGCAAAATGTATCTTCACAGGTGAAAAATTTTAATGTTCCAAACAAACATGCGACACAATAAACTTGCATATTCAAACATAATAATTTTCGTAAGCTAAGTAATAACAAAACACATAACCAAAATATTCACTATATAGATCACCGTTCTGAAGATATACATGATTATTTGACACAGAAAGAACTTTCACAGCCTTTGATTAGAAACCAATCCCAATCGTAAAATATCTTAAAATGAGATGGTGAGCTTATGTCATACCACAGTGTCCATCGTCTATCTGTCCATCTGTCTGTCATGTTTCTCTACAAATCATTACTAGTCATGAACAACTAAGTCCCATCGGCAGTATAAAAAATTGATTGAAAAATAAAATAACCAGAGTCCCAAAGGGCCATAATTACTCACCTGGCTACTTCAGCTTTTTATTCATTGAACTGAACATTTGTTATCAACCGTCTGTACAGCAATAAAAATGGTTAAAGCAGCATCTGTAGAATTACCTGGATGTATCATTCAGGTTAAAATAACAAGAGGCCCATGGGCCTTAACGGTCATCTGACAAAAAGCAAGCCAAACCTAGAAAGTGGGTTGAGGTCATTCATTTGAACAAACTTGGTAGCCTCTCCTCCAAGCATCTTGCAGGCCCAATATCAGCACTCATGGACTTTTGCTTGTTGAGAAGAAGTCGTTTGTATATTTTAACATATTTGACCGTGGGTTGAGGTCATTCATTTGAATAAACTTGGTAGCCTTTCCTCCCAGCATGCTACAGACCCAATATCGGCACTCATAGACTTTTGCTTATTGAGATGAAGTCCTTTGTATATTTTAACATATTTGACCCCTGTGACCTTGAAAGTGGGCCAAGGTCATTCATTTGAACAAACTTTGTAGGGCTCCATGCCAGCATGCTATGGGCCAAGTATTAGCCCCCTAGGCCTTCTAGTATTTGAGAAGAAGTTATTTAAAGATTTTGACATATTTAACCCCTGCGACCTTGAAAGTTGTTCAAGGTCATTCATTTAAATAAACTTAGTAGCCTTTCCTCCCAGCATGCTACAGACCCAATATCGGCACTCATAGACTTTTGCTTATTGAGATGAAGTCCTTTGTATATTTTAACATATTTGACCCCTGTGACCTTGAAAGTGGGCCAAGGTCATTCATTTGAACAAACTTTGTAGGGCTCCATGCCAGCATGCTATGGGCCAAGTATTAGCCCCCTAGGCCTTCTAGTATTTGAGAAGAAGTTATTTAAAAATTTTGACATATTTAACCCCTGCGACCTTGAAAGTTGTTCAAGGTCATTCATTTAAATAAACTTAGTAGCCTTTCCTCCCAGCATGCTACAGACCCAATATCGGCACTCATAGACTTTTGCTTATTGAGATGAAGTCCTTTGTATATTTTAACATATTTGACCCCTGTGACCTTGAAAGTGGGCCAAGGTCATTCATTTGAACAAACTTTGTAGGGCTCCATGCCAGCATGCTATGGGCCAAGTATTAGCCCCCTAGGCCTTCTAGTATTTGAGAAGAAGTTATTTAAAGATTTTGACATATTTGACCCCTGTGACCTTGAAAGTTGTTCAAGGTCATTCATTTAAACAAACTTGATAGCCCTTCATCCCAGCATGCCACAGGCACAATATCAGCAATCTGAGCCTTTTGGTTATTGAGAAGAAGTTGTTTAAAGATTTTAACATATTTGACCCCTGTGACCTTTAAAGTAGAGCAAGGTCATTCATTTGAACAAACTAGGTAGTCCTTCATCCCAGCATGTCACAGGCCCAATATCTACACTCTGAGCCTTTTGGTTAATGAGAAGAAGTTGTTTAAAGATTTTAACATATTTGACCCCTGTGACCTTGAAAGTGGGTTGAGGTCATTCATTTGAATAAACTTGGTAGCCTCTCCTCCCTGCATGCTACAGACCCAATATCGGCACTCATAGACTTTTGCTTATTGAGATGAAGTCCTTTGTATATTTTAACATATTTGACCCCTGTGACCTTGAAAGTGGGCCAAGGTCATTCATTTGAACAAACTTTGTAGGGCTCCATGCCAGCATGCTATGGGCCAAGTATTAGCCCCCTAGGCCTTCTAGTATTTGAGAAGAAGTTATTTAAAGATTTTGACATATTTGACCCCTGCGACCTTGAAAGTTGTTCAAGGTCATTCATTTAAATAAACTTGGTAGCCTTTCCTCCCTGCATGCTACAGACCCAATATCGGCACTCATAGACTTTTGCTTATTGAGATGAAGTCCTTTGTATATTTTAACATATTTGACCCCTGTGACCTTGAAAGTGGGCCAAGGTCATTCATTTGAACAAACTTTGTAGGGCTCCATGCCAGCATGCTATGGGCCAAGTATTAGCCCCCTAGGCCTTCTAGTATTTGAGAAGAAGTTATTTAAAGATTTTGACATATTTGACCCCTGCGACCTTGAAAGTTGTTCAAGGTCATTCATTTAAATAAACTTGGTAGTCCTTCATCCCAGCATGTCACAGGCCCAATATCTACACTCTGAGCCTTTTGGTTATTGAGAAGAAGTTGTTTAAAGATTTTAACATATTTGACCCCTGTGACCTTTAAAGTGGGTCAAGGTCATTCATTTGAACAAACTTGGTAGTCCTTCATCCCAGCATGTCACAGGCCCAATATCTACACTCTGAGCCTTTTGGTTAATGAGAAGAAGTTGTTTAAAGATTTTAACATATTTGACCCCTGTGACCTTCAAAGTGGGTCAAGGTCATTCATTTGAACAAACTTGGTAGTCCTTCATCCCAGCATGTCACAGGCCCAATATCTACACTCTGAGCCTTTTGGTTAATGAGAAGAAGTTGTTTAAAGATTTTAACATATTTGACCCCTGTGACCTTTAAAGTGGGTCAAGGTCATTCATTTGAACAAACTTGGTAGAGCTCCATGCCAGTATCCTCTGTGCCAAGTATTAGCCCCCTAGACCTTCTAGTATTTGAGAAGAAGTCGTTTGAATGAAAAGTTTACGGACGGCGCACGGCGGACGGCGCACGGTGCACGGCGTACGGCGGACGACGACGGACGAAGCATGATGACTATAGGTCACCGGACCCTTCGGGTCAGATGACCTAAAAATCCTGTAGCACTTATAGTATTCCTGATAGAGACAAGAATGCTTCAGATCAAATTTTAGCAAATCCATTCAATCCTACACATGGAGAAGGATTTTAAAGAATTTGTTTTACTTTCTGTACTTGACCCTGCCCAAGGGGGCCAGGACCCACCATTTATAATTAATTCCCCTTCCCCCAAAGAATGCTTCAGACCAAATTTGGGTGAAATCCAATCATTCCCACAGAAGGAGTAGGATTTTAAAGAACTTGGAACATTTCCCCTATTGAGCCCTACACGGAGAACCATCATTTAACCAAACTTTGTTCCCCTTCCCTCAAGGATCTTCTGACCTTATTTGGTCAAAATCCACTTAGATGTTCATGACTAGTAGTAATACTAGAAAAACAGACAGACGATGGACACTGCGTCATGATATAAGCTTACCAGTTTTTTGGAGCTTCTGTGTGAGCTAAATAATACTAAAAAAAGATTGTGATTATGTAACTTTCTTACACCTTATAAACACGATCATTACTCCATACACCTTCTATGTTATTAACTTTTTGCTACCCTTAAATGTTTCAATATAAAAAAGAAATAGATTAATAAATAAATAATGAAAAACAAGAATTTTACAGACATAAAAAATAAGCCTTAATTTTATAAGCCAAAACATTTTTAAAATGTTTTCTATCTTAATTTTTAGAAAAAGTATATCATAAATAACAGAATACCTATAAAGAATAGTCTTTTTGTTGTCAACATTTGTATTGTCACTTTGACATTCATCATTTAGGCTGTGCTGTCTGATGACCTTACAAGTCTAAACAGGCCAGCCACCATACTTCTGATGAAAATGATGTGTAATTTTTGACAGGTCATCCATCAATTTCTTAATGGTTATGATATAGAAGCTTCTACTTCATCATCTTGGCACAATTGAAAGTTCCATGTGTGAGTCTTGGTGCACAAGACAAAAAGACTAGTTTGATCCTTTGATGTACATCAAACGAATCTCAAGGCTGAATAACAGTATATTGTTATGGCTTTGAAGCTGGGTGTCACTCCTTTGAAATCTTCAAAAGGAGTGTATCAGCCTGTGATTGGTCAGAGTTTTTTCCTGGAACCAATCAAATTACCTTGCTCGTGCCTTCAATTTTGCTGTGCCATCTTCCAGGGGTGCAGTGAGCCAAAGTGGCCGTAACCCCTGGAGTATTGTGGATGTTATTCCACAGGTAAGCTGAAACCAGCATCCTGCTTTAACTAAAGTAGAATATACTTCATTTTGAAGTCTGGCTTCAGGAGTAAATACTCCTCTTTTTTTATCCTCATCAGAAACCCACAGGATTCTGCTCTGACATTTCACATCAGTGACAAAGCAGAGTCTTGCGAGTCTCCCCACAATTGCTTTTTATATAATCAGTAGTTTTTATTAGTTTGTATTTCAGAGCAGTGACCAGTAGGTTACACTAAAGGGAAGGTAGAAAATAAATCAGAAAGAATCGTGCTAATGAGAGATGTTGAAATAAAGATGAAGCAGAAACAAGGCTATATATAAAGTACACACAGATACGATAGGCAATTACCTCATCTATTCTTAGGCTTTCCTGAATCTGGGTAACGGAAAGAAACGTAAATAAACAAAATAAATCTGAGATACACAACTACAGTTTAGGCATTCTGACGGAGAAAAAATCTTATTCTGTGACATTCCAGGTAGATATGTGAAAAAATAGCCAAATCCATGCAAATTCTGGACATATGTCATACAAGAAGCACATAGTGAATACATGCATAACCCTCAGTCACACCACATCAACACTTTGTGAGTATTAACAGGAACAGCAAAGAAACTAACATGATTTCGTCCAATCTTCTGTCATCATTATCATAAATGACCATCACCAATGAAGGATCTAGATAGGTTCCCCCGAGAAATCTAACGTCATCATTTAATCACCTAGTGAACATGTCTTTGACATCTTATAAAAAACTAAATTTCCCCAAACCCTGGGGTCATCATTAAGGGGAGACTTGATATGAAGATAAAATGAAAATAAAACTAAGGTTACAATTTGTCTCAGAATCAGTAAAACATAATATTACATATAGATATCAGTCCATGACAACAAAAAAACCCGGATATTTTCTGATACCTTCCTCATCAGAAAATATCTTTTTCGATAAAAACAGAGTAAGGCTATTGTGAAATTATTTTTTCAATTAATGTTGTATCTAGATTTTTGGAAACTACATTACAATTTAACTTGCAATTTAAACTGAGTGTTAGTAACCATGGTTTTAAACTGAGTGTTAGAAACCATGGAAACCAAAGTACTGTGCTGTATTGTAATATATGATAAGGTCATGTCTGGTAGTATGGAGTGATGTCTACTGCAATACATGTACAAGCAAATGCTTCCCTTATTGTTAAACCATTGACCGATAATCTAACATCTTTTTTTGGAGGTCAAAGTTCATGAGTTGGCTCCCTGTTAAATCATTAAGGAATCCTCGACATAATATTATGAACACCATAACATGCAAAACCAATGAAAATTCAACATTTTTTGTGAAACAAAACAAAACATTGTACATAAACATGAGGCTACCCTTCATTAAGTAATGATGATTCTGTTTAGGTTCACTTACCTCCTTGACTTGTGATGATTGGAGAGCTGAGGATGTTGCTAGCCTTACTTGAATCACCTGATTGTCTTCAATTTCTAGCTGGTTCAGTAATTTCTGGTCGTCGTTAATCCCAAGCTTAAAGAAAGTGTGTCTAACATTATTATCAAAACCTGTTTTATGATAATTCCTAAATCAATCTAAATACTTGTATGATTAAAAGCTGAATTTCACATGTAATCACTTGAAGCAAGACTTGCTCTGGATGTGCTATTGATGAAACACCAAATTATAACTAGAGGAACTTTTTTTGGTGTGATGATTTGTGACTAATTCCAATTCAGACTCATTTCCTATACAAGCATTTTATGAATATTAAAAATTAAATTTACTAATACAATCTTTTCATTTTCTTGAACAGTGCGAAGCAGGAAAGCAAAAGGAAAACCAAATATTGATTCCTTACCATTTTGTCCTGAGCAACCACTTGTATGTTTTCTGGGGTCTGGCGTAATTTGCTGGATATTTTTGACCGGATTGATCCAAGAGTTTCATTACTATGACACTGTAGAAAGTAAACAAAATACAAATCATACACTTTCAAGATTTGGTTCATACAATGGTCCAAATTTGTGTCTGACAAAGGTTTCGGGATGAATGTAATGGTCCAAATTTGTGTCTGACAAAGGTTTCGGAATGAATGTAATGGTCCAAATCTGTGTCTGACAAAGGTTTCAGGACGAATATAATGGTCCAAATTTGTGCCTAACAAAGATTTCAAGAGGCATATGACAGTCCAAATCTGTGTCTAACAAAGATTTAGACAGGCATATGATAATCCTGATCTATGTCTCACAAAGGTTTCAAAAGGCAGGTGATCGTTCAAATTTGTGGCAAAGTTTTCAATAGGATAGAAATAATTCAGCTCGTATACCGAGACAATTATACATATTCATTATCAGTAATGGAAGTAAAGCTGATATTTCACAAAGGTTTGTAATGTTTGCCATCTCAGATGGTTGCTATGTTCTTCAATCAGGTTTGAGGTTGTCAATTCCTCTGTTTTTTCATAACAACTTTGATACTGAATAAAATAATTCAGGTTCCCGTGTTGCCTATCAGTTGTAAATCTTAACAAAATTTCAAATGCTGCAATACGATTGAACTATTTTTCCTGTTTGCTATTGTATACCTTTGAAATTCAATCATAGCTCTTCCAGTAAATCATTTAACTAAGAGAAGAGCTGGACAGGAATCACCAAGAGTAATTAACATAAACAGTAGGGTTTAACAAACCTAAATTTCCTTTGATAGACATAAGGTCTGAAGAGACAAAATGTAGTATCATAAAACTATTAAGAATGAATGAAGATTTAAAAAGAATTTAGTGTTCATGTGTGTGATAGCATTGATTACAGGTGGTGTGTATATATTTCAAGCCAGGTCTGATAACTCACCACAAGTAAGAATTCTTGTTTGGGTGATTCTGACATTACAGTGAGGTTCATCTGATGTCCATGGAAGGATGCACCGTGGGGGAGGATGGTGCGAGTCGTGTGATGTGTCTCCTCTACATTTAACACATACTCCTCAGCGATCCACATCAACCGCTCAATGTTCATCAGCTTGATGTTCCTAAAATAAAGCAAACAAAGTATTGGCTACTATTTATTTAGCAAGACCATCAATATTCATTTTACTGAAAGACATGTACGACAGATTTTACAACAGCAAATTTGTTTAGTTATCCTATCTACAGTATGTAACAGGAAAATACATTCAGTTATAGTTTTGTTTAAAAAGGAATTTTATTCTGGTTCATGTAGCATTATGTTTTTCATCAGTTCGTAATGAACAATTTTAATGATAATAATAAGAACGTTGTTCCTTTTCATCGTCAGACGATAATCACAATAAATTTGACCACTAGTCGATGGTGTAGGATTTATATCGCACCAGCTACCAGGTAAGAAGATATTAAACATCATCCACCTGAGTTTTATGCTTTTACTGCTCCACTCTGATAAGTTAAACATTTCTACAGATTACACCTTCTAAAACAAATTTATTAATGTGGCATTTGATCAAATGGAAAATCTGCAAAAATTAGTTGGGAAATAAGGTGTAAAAACTGAAAAAAAAACCTAAAAAATGTCTACAAGATTTGAAGGAAAGGTTCTCAAGATTATGATATTGATCCGAACCATGGACATGGATCAATCTATATGACACTCTCCTTCTCCCCATAGCAGAAATTCAAAAAACTCTTACCGAGAGGGTAAAGGCACATTAGCTACTTCTGGTACAATAGCAGCTGTGAGAGTTTTGGTTGCCCAGGAGATGGACTGAGCTATCACAGTGCCCCCTATACCAATCATGGCCGCCTATAAAGAAACATGACATAAATGTCAGAAAATCCAACACCAAACGCCTAACAATGTATGAGATCTGGGTAAACTGTATCAGCACCTTTCTAGGTGAAACATTTCAAAAACTCCCACATATCAAGTGATACAAAGATATTTCTTTACCTTACATATCTGGAATAAATCCAAATGATTCCTCTCATTTTAAATATACTTTATTTCCTGGTATCATCTTGTAGTCGTGTAGATATCATCTGTATTTCATTTTAACAGATACAGTATAAATAAATGGTTTCCTCAATAAATCAATTTACAACTGATGTTGAGCATAAATTTACATGAAAAATCAAAGATAATTTAAAGCAATAATGAAATTTCTTCCCTCAGATTGTAAACAGATAAACAAAACATTGATTTTTTTTACCTATCCTCTCATAATTCAACCCTAGAAACATACCTCCAGTCTACTCTTGCTGTCAGCTATGAATTTCTTGTGTAGTATCACAGGGTCCTAGAAAAATTCAAGAGGGCAGTCCAAGCACCAAAACATAACACTTCTATTGCAATCATTTCAGTAAGTAATATAGTTAGAATGTAATGCTCCTCAAACTGGGAGTAGATATAGCACTATGAATTTACTGTAAACTAATTCATATAAGAAAATATGTGCATCCTCACTGAAAACTTTTCATTTTCATAAAGAGAGAAATTTGCCTTAAATGCCTACAAACAAAGATATAAACTTCGACCTGAAACTTCTGCACATCTTTCATTTTTGCTTCTTGACAAAAGGGCAGAAGTTCAACTACAGTTAAAGATTTCCTGCGTACAGTAAG